CACCTGGAGACCGTCATAGACCATGCCTGTGACTCCTCCGGTGGCTCCCACCCCCGGGCAGAGGGACTCCCTCCACCATAACCACGGCCACTTCTGCTGCCACCCCCCACCCCCAGACTGAGGCCCTCAGGGGCTGGGACTGCGTCTGGGTTCTCTCTGGATCCCCAGAACAGCTTGGAACCGAGTCCTGACATCTTGAAAGGAAGAGTGAGAGGGAGCATGCAGGCGAGAAGACCCCTCAGCCTAAGCAATCCTTGGGGGTCTGGCATCGCGCCACCGCCCCCAAGCCACTGCAGCCCCCAAGCTCACTGAAGCTCCAGAAAGGACGCCAGACTCCTGGTCCTGAGGAAGGGCTCTGGAATGTGAAGGGACAGGCCTTCCTCCCGGGCATTTTCTCCCGACTCGCACCCTGGACGACTCTCTATTTACAGTGACGCTGTTGGAGGCACAGTTTTGTGCCCTGAATTGCATTCCTGGGCAAAGCAAACCCACCCGCTCCTGTGTGGCTGCATCGACCAAGGCTGGGGCCTTCGGGTCTTCTGCTGTCACCGAGTGCCCTCTACTGGCTGCAGAAAAACAAATCCTTCTAGGATGTGATGTTCCAATGCACTCAGATGTACAAATTTTGTTTTTGTTTTTTTCTACATCTCAACTTAGTCCCTGTGATGAGCACCCAAACAATTCAGATAATTCAGAATGACTTTCTTCCTCCACCAGCTTCTCCCCAGGTGGCGTCTAGGTTCTGGGTGCCCACACTGGCCAGGGATGCAGGGGAAACACACGTCCATCCATCCATGTCCTTTGTCCTGTTGGCAACCCCCTGCTCCAGGGAGGCATACCTGCCTCCCTGCTCCCAGGCAGTGTGTGGAAGTGATTCCCACACCTGTGTGGGGCCAGGTACTTCAGGATCTCCCTGGGACTTCTCCGCTGAGACCCACCTGCTGCCATTTCTACTTCCTCACTGCCCCACACTGTTGCTGCCCCGTGATGGGGGCACGTTGCTGCGGAGGGGCTCTGGGACACCCCTGCTTCCCCAGGCCCCAGCAAAATGAGTTCAGCCGTCCTTGGACCCCTAGGCTCATTCAGAGCTTCGCTCATAACTTTGGACTTGGCCCATGGACAGGGAAAGGGGAAGGGCTCCCACACTGGTTGCAGGCTGGAATCCCTCCCCAACTCCTCCCCTTGGAGAACTTTTGTCCAGTCCTTGTCCTGTGTGTCTGGCAAGTAGAAGTAGCAGAGGGACAAGGAATGGTAACAAGAAAAACTGGCTTGGCGGGTTTTCGTTCCAAATCATTTGGTCTTATGCCAGAAAAACTATGCTCAACTTTTTCTTTGTCACAGTTGAAAACCAAGAATCTGACATCTTCGTTTTCTGGTCCCATCTACTGCCCCTTTGACAACTTCCCCCTTAGGCCATGGTGTCCTCTGGTTGAACTCCCTGGACTAGGGGCAGGGCTCAGGATAGGCATGGAGAAATTCAGCACAGAACAGGGAAGAAGCACCCAACAGCCTTGAGCTTCCTCCTGCCACGCTCACAAGACAGAAGAGTGCATTTTATATTGTTAATAATAGTTTACAACATGTGTATCGATACAGTGCTTCCTACCTTTTGAGAATAACTTTTTTTTGCACTTTTTTTTTTTCTTTTTGAGACAGAGTCTCACTCTGTTGCCCAGGCTAGATTGCCATGGCATCAGCCTAGCTCACAGCAACCTCAAACTCCTGGGCTCAAGCAATCCTCCTGCCTCAGCCTCCCAAGTGGCTGGGACTACAGGCATGTGCCACCATGCCTGGCTAATTTATATATATATATATATTAGTTATCCAGCTAATTTCTTTCTATATATATTTTTAGTAGAGGCGGGGTCTTGCTCTTGCTCAGGCTGGTCTTGAACTCCTGAGCTCCAACGAACTGCCCGCCTCAACCTCCCAGAGTGCTAGGATTATAGGTGTGAGCCACCATGCCCCACCCTTTTTACACTTTTTTTTTTAAAGTCTTACTTTTTGCTTTTTCTGAAAACTTTGAAAGTCACTTGCAGACATCAATCCCCTTTCTCTTAACCCTGTAGCATGTATCTCCTAGGAAATAGTGAAACCGCTCTTTATAAAATTAATGAAGGGCCACAAGGCGGGAACTATGGTGAAAATATACACATAACCAGCCATTGTTCCGAGCTTGGTTTCCCATAATTGCTCACTGCTCAGGAGTCACATGGCTGACGGTCATAAAGATTCTCGGCTTTATTCACTGCTCTCATAGATAAGATTACCCTTGAGAAACCTCAGGCTAGTTTAATGGACCAGCTGACCCACCCAGACCAGTGGCCCATACCAAGGAACTGACTCAACTGGTCTAGCGACCACCCCCTCTCCACCTCCAAGAACTGACTCAGCACAAAAAGACAATTTCTACACCCCTATGATTCTACCCCTAACCCAGCCAATCAGCTGGCCCAATTGCCTAGCCCTTTGCCCACCAAACTATCTTGAAAAACCCTTTCTGCAAGTTCTCAAGGAGATAGATTTGAGAACTTCTTTGTACCTCCTCGCATGGTGCCTGCGATATTAAACTCTTTCTCTGCTGTAGCCCCTGCTGTCTCAGTGCACTGGCTTCCTCTTGAACCGCAGGCAATGAGCCTGGTAAGGCTGTAACAATAGGATGTGCTCTTACAGATCTATAGTACAACTATTGAATTCAGGGAATTTCATGTCGATACAATTTTAAAAACATATGCTCTATATTCAAATTTCTCTAATTGTTCCAATATTTTAGAGCATCTTTTCTACTCCAGTATCCAATTCAAATCATGCACTGCATTAATTGTCTCTTTATCCTCCTTTAATCTAGAACAGCCCCTCGGTCTTTCATGATGTTGACATTTTTTTAAAGGGATAGCTACAGTGTTTTATACAATGTCCCTCAATGTGTCAACCTCATGATTCGGGCTTTGCATTTGTGGAACAGCACGGGACATGTGTGTCCTTCCTAGTACATCACATATCTGGTGCCTGATATCATTTTGTCCCATTTGGGGTCAATTTCATGACTACTTGTTTAAAGTGGTGTGCCACAGGGTCGTGTACCGCAAAGATACCTCCTCACTTACCTTTGCAAATCAATAAGCATTCTGTGGGAAGATACAATGTGTGCAAATATTCTGCTACCTGACAAACTCTTACCCAGTGGTTTCAGCATCCCTTGTGGTCTGAATTAGTTATTATTAGTGTTATGGTTGCAAACTGGTGTTTTTCCCTGATTCTATTGTCCCTGATTCTATTGTATAAGTACAGAATGTATTTATCACTCACCATTTTATTATTAATATCAAGAAGAACTTAAAGGAATGTATTCTAGGACCCTTTTTCTACTCCTCCTCCACATCTTTACCCTCTGGTTGGAATCTTTCCCCATGTGGCACATCCTGCCCTTCCTTGAAGCCCAGATCCAGGGTCACCTGGCCTCAAAGCCTCCCCTACCCCAACTGGGCAGATAAACCTGCCCACCCTCTCTCTTCCCTTCAAGCAAGGTGGGCTGCAGTGTGTGGCCTTCTCAGGGCTCCTGGCACAAGGAGCGGCTGGGGGAGGGGACCTTAACCCTTCCCTGGCCAAACTCCCACCCAATCTCCACCCGCTCTCACGCAGTGGTTCTCAAACTTAAGTGCCCACCAGAATGACCTGGAGGGCTTGTTAAAACACAGATACCTGGTTCCTACCCCCACGGACTCTAATGCAATACTCAAAAATCTCACTGGCTTAACAAACGCTTATTTCTCCCTCAGATTACATCAAATACAGCTTGGAAGGGAGCTCTGGTCCACACACTCGGAGACCCAGGATGATGAGACTCCATTTCAATATGAGGCTTCTGGGTGGAACACAGGAAGAGAGGAGAATGCACGGAGAATCGTGCGTGGATTTTTCTTGCTCTCAGCCCCCTGGCCAGAACTAATCTTATGACCTGACCATCCGTAGTGGCTGGGAAGCCCGGGAATCAGACGGACCATTTGTAAGCACCGTGGCTTCTCTGTCGCCCCTGCACTCCCCTTATCCTGGCAGCCCACAGCCACATGGGCCTCTCTCTGCTTCTCAAACACACCAAAGCGCTTTTTTTTTTTTTTTTTACCTCTGGACCTTTGCACTAGCTGCTCTCTCTGCCCAAATGCTCTTGTGCCAGACCTCACCTGGTTGACTCAACTGTCCCTTCCCAGGAGAGGCTTTCTCTACCCAAAGCACCCACCCACTCCTTCACACCACTGTTTTTTAATCCTCTGCACAGCCCTTATTAGTCTATGTTTGATGTCTCTGTTCTCTCGATTCCATGGGAGCAAAAACTGGCTTGTTTATCGCTGTCCCTGTAGTACCCAGAGCAATGCCTGGCACATGGTAGGTGCTAAAATATATTGACTCAACCAATAAATGCTGAAGTATATTACTGTTTCCATTTCACAGGTTAAAAAAAAAAAAAAAAAAAAGAGGACCCAAAGGGGGTAAGTGGCTTGCCCAAGGTCACACCACTACCAAATGGTACCAACTGATTTAAAAATCCATGATGCCATATTCCACTAGTGTGTTTGCATGATTTCACTGCTTCCAAATATTAAGGTGGCAGATTAAGTTTTAGTTTATCCTTTTATTCTCACAATTCCCCATCAACTGGGTCTCTGCTGTCCTTGGTTCCTAAGTGTCTTAACACAACTCTACGGAAGGCAATCTGGCTGGCAGCATCTAGGAATTTATCCCACAGATGTGCTCGTTCATGTGGAAAACCACGTGCAAGGTTTTTTTTTTTTCATTACACAGCCATGACAGCAAAAGATTAGAATTAATTCAGTGACCACCTGTAGGAGATTGGCTCACAGGGGTATGTATTCACAGTAGGTATGTGGACACTGTGGAATAGTACGCAGCCCTGAAAAGTGAGGGAGAACTTCAGGTTCTGGTGGGAAAGTTGTCTAAGGCATGGTATTACATTGAAAGAAAGAGGCATATAACTGTATATAAAGTATATGCTTTTCATTTAATTTCCCCAAAGAGCTAAACATCTTCAAACCTTACATAATGAGATCATCTTCTTGATGAAAATATAAAAAGAAAATAAAAATCAGCATACCAGTGTGGTTTCCATCATTTGAACTTATTTTATTGATACTCAATTAGCGAATAAAATTTTATTGTTGATTTTTGATGCATTACAACACACTTTTGGTAGTGGTTGCACAATGTTGATCATTTATTTACTATACTAAATACTGCAACTTCCAAATTGCCAATTTTTACACGGTATTTTTGGTGATGATGGGTGGCTTCTCTCTCTGAATACATAAAGTGGTCAGTTCAGTCCATAGTTTTCCTATTCCTTTGTTATTCTACCTACTGCTTTAAAGTACATTCAAATAAAAAGACATAAGTTACTTGCAGTGAGTGCACATGTACGACAGCGAGAACTGAGATCATAATTAACCAACGCTCTTGTGTTCAGAGAATAAATAGTCTGAAATCACAAGACTGAAGCTTGCTCCCTGGGGACTTTCTCAAAGTGTCCTCAGTGGACATAAGGTTACCCTCACTTAACTGAAGGACATATCTGCCGGGGGGGCGGGGGGAAGGGGGAGGACACAGAATGACAATTTCATTTACACGGGATGTTTTCCTTCCATAAATGTCTGGAACAAGTGGTCATGGAACACCATGATGTAAAGTGCGGTCCTCAGAACAAATAAATAAACTGCTTGGACTGGAATGCCACAGACACACTCAGTCTGGAGCTGGAAGGAGAGAGGATATCTGTTTAAAATACGGCACACACAAATAATAAATAAAAGTTTTAAACTTAACCGGCGACGGCAACAGGACCAGGCTCCCTTGTTTGTTTGTGGTTCTTTTCAAAAGCACCTCTATCTTCTCCTAAGGATAAAAAGTGGCACAAGGAGACAAAAAGGCTCTGGGGGAGAGAGAATATTTTGTCGCGACCATTCACTGTTCTGAAACAAGAGGGGAAAACACGTGGGCCTTGACTGGCCGCCACAGAAGACGGTGCAGTGGAAGCGCCCTGGCCAGCCTCGAGCTCCAGAGCAAGGCCTGGAGCAAGCAGGGTGCCATGGTCTCCTTTCTCCCTTGAACCTGTCTGGAATGACCTTCGGTTGTGGTTCTTTCCCTTTACTTTTAGTGCCGACACAGTTCTTTAAGAAGCTTCTTCCCTAACCTCTTTCCTCTCGATCCTATTGTTAACGTCATCTTGGGTCTGGTCTTACGTCAATTTGGTTGTGACACTGGGTCCCAGAAATAAGCCTGGTCTCTCATTAGCGGCTTAGTGTGTTTGAGATTTGCATTTTGGTGTCATAGAACCACACAGAGAACGCACACTACCGGTACCATTACTTCCCTGCATATAAAAAAAACCGGAAAAATAAAACAGATCACGCGGAACACAGAGGGGCTTGCTGAACGACGCAGCGGGGGGCGGGGGATAAATACATTCTCTTTCGGGTCAGACGTCTGGCCTGACAGCTGATTACAAAACACGGGATGACTTCAAGTGGAAGGCATGGAAAGAAAAGGTCACGCGTCAAAAAAGAAACGACTGTCCGCTGAGGCAGAGGAGTGAAGGTCTTGAAGAAGCTGGGCCACCCGTGAAAGACAGAAAAGCTCTCCGACTGTGAGCGCTGCTACATCAGCTGCACGTGGCCGAGGACGGAGGCTCCTTACGCTCTCGAGGGGCGGGCGAGGCCAGGTGTCCGACGACACCCAGGTGTGTCAAGCCCCGAGCCGTGACAGCTCATAGTGTGCGACACAGGAGGTCAGCCGCAGAAGTCACCGGTGTCCTATCCATGGGATAAGAACACACTTGGGAGTTTAGTGCTTCTTCTCAAAAGGAAAGAAGAAAAGGACACCACCTTCTCCCGGGTGGGCAGGGGTGAAGTCCTCATGAGAGTGATGACAGCACAGGGGCACTTCCTGTGGGATGTGAAGAAAGAGCAGGGCAGGTAGGAGGTTCTCCAGGTCCTATGTATGTACACGTGTGACAGAGTTTCCACTCCTCCTCCGTTAGGCACGAGGTTGGTTTGTGTAGTTCGGGAGGGGAGGGACGGAGAAAGGAAGAGGGAGGAGAGTGCACTGCAGGGGCACGAGAGGGAGGTTGGGGCACACGACAGGGAGCGTGTTGGTCTCCTCCAGGGCGACGGCGCCCCTCCCATCCTCACCGTAAGCTAGTTTGTTTGGGGAGCTTAGCACCCATCAAGATGCCCGAGGTGAGAGTCACGGGGGCCTTCATCTGCATGCTGGACCCCACCATGGTGGGGAAGCTGCGATTCCGCCGGATGCCACTGCTGAGCTGCAGCCCGCCGATGGCACTGGTGACCGTGGGGCATCCGAGAGGCAGGCCCTCGGGTACCAGGCCTCCAGGGACAAGGGCTTGTGCAGGCCCTGGGGGCCCACAGAGGAGAGGTCCTGGCTCCTCAGTCAAGGTGGGGACATGGGCTCGCCCTGAGTTCACCACTCTGGCCACCCCAAACCTCCGGACTTTGTCCACGAGGTTGAGGTTGGACACGGACACGTCTGTCTGGCTCTCACTGCTGCGCACGCTCTTCTTTTCCCTCACCTCCCTTAGGATGGAGCTGGCCGGCTTGGAAGCCAGGAAGTTGTCGTAGGGAGGGCTTGTGCACTTGAACTCGAAGGAGGGCGGGGAGGACGTGGGCGTCTGCATAGGCGAGTTGGGCGGGGTGGAGGGGATCACAGCCATCCTGGGAGTGTAGGAGTGCAGGAGGGAGCCCCGGCCGGCCCTGTCCCAGCTCTGCGGGTCATAGACGGCCGCGGAAATGCCCCGCTCCTTCAACAGCCACACCAGCCCCAGCGATGTGCTCATGGTGGTCGTGGACTCACGGACGTTAGTGAAGGATTCGGCCAGGCTCAGTCTCCGTGGAGTGCATGGTGTGGCCACTGGCGTGGATTTCAAGTGGCTGGCGCTGCCACAAGCTGGAGTTGGGGCTGAGTTAAGGCTGAAAGGAAGACACGACAGGTTATTCATCACGAATGGCCATGTGCACCACAGAAAGGGTCAGTGGCCAGTCTCCTGCAGGGGGTACAGGGCAGGCCTGGGGCACGACGAGGGGACTCCCCCAGCTGAGGACCTCCAGATGCCTCTGTCCACGTCTGCTCCTCCATCTTACCCAGAGAGGCTGATCCTTAAATGCGGGCAGGAAGCTACATCTGATCCCCTTTGCACATCCCTGGCAGGTGGGTATAACTCCCCTCTTACAGATGAAGAAACAGACTCAAGGCTTAGATGGCTGCCTCTGTATCACACTTGGATATTAAGTGGACAACTCCAAATTCAAATCCAAGTCTGAGTGACCTCAAGGCTATCCGAGAAGAGGGAAGGAAGCCCTTTGGCAAAGCAGCTTTCTTTCCCTACAAAATTTACTCAAATTCCTAATGTCTATTCTCCCTGAGGCAAGACATGAACCAGGTCTAGGGGATATGAGATATTCCTTATTTTAGGAATGGCAAAAATGGCCACAGTGGGTAGGCCAGATGGTATACACTGTCAGTGTCCTCCTGACTCTTTCCTCCGTACTGTGCTGCCCTGAATCCTCTTCACCTGCTTGTCCAAATCCATTTAGCCCAGTGAAGCTATGGGGTCACCGGAGGCCTCGTCACGCATCAGTAGATCTACATCTACAGTGCTACCTAAACAGAGGCCTGCTAAAGTGTAGGAAGCCTGAGTTACCAAAGGAAAGCAGAAAGATTTATTCATTCACTGTGTCATGCTGACTGCGGATCCACTAGGTTCCAGCAGCTGGGATCCAGCCATGAAGGCCATTAGGACAGAAAAATTTACCAGAAGGCACAAGAGGGAAATGTATTGCCGTCTGCTTAAAAAACAGGAAAGGTTCTTTAACAGCTGCTATTGGGATGGGGGAAGCCCTGCATCGATTCTAAACGAGCACCCAAGGGGCAAAGATGAACATCCTTTCTAACAGTCTCACAGGACCTCCCTGCAGCTGGCTCGAGGATGTAGCTGGGGCTGCCAGCACCCCGTGGAGGTCAGCTGGCTGGTCCCCAGGAGTTGGGCGGGAGACCTCTCTCCCCCAGGACTGGCAGCGGGAGGTCCAGATGCTTTGGATAAAGCACCAAACAGGGCAAAGAGAAGGCAGAGGGCCTGTCCTGGAGCAGGGCCCCCCTCCTTTGGGTAAGAGTTCAAAAAGCAAGGACAAGCCAGAGGCACCCCTTGGCTCCACACTCAGGTGTAACCTCAGCACTGGCCGGGCAGCACAGGGTGGGGACCACAGAACAGGCTCATCTCACACAAGCTCAGGAGTGGGGATGCTGGCAGGTTGGGAACACTCAGAGAAACATGAGATTAGAAACCAAAGCAGTTTCCTAAGGTTAAAAACGTGGATTTTTCAAAAGGCACAGGTGGAATTTTACAAACGCTGATACACAGTCCACAGAGGGCAAAAGAGTTCTAGATTTCAAATCTTGTTTATGTGGCCATTCCTATGGAGATTTTCAACTTTGTTTCAAGTGGCCTTGCTTTCAACCTCAGGCAAAAGAGCCCTCTGACTCGTGCCCCCAACACATGGCTGTACAAAGACACGTGCGAGGTTGAGTGCTATGGCTACAGTCAGAAGAGAGACATCTAGTGACCCAGGGCACCAGCCTCCCACGGGGGAAGCTCTGTCCCGTGGTTTTTAATAACAATCTCTTCCAACACAAAGCCACGGGATGAGGAGGACATCAGGCTCTCCAGGGCCAGGGAGGGCGAAGGGGAAGACGAAGGCCGAGTTTGCACATCCCCGTCTGGCGAGAACTCCAGGTTAGGCCTTTATTAGTGCTGGCGCTCGGCTCGCCCGGGGGTGTTTAGATGGGTTAGGGGATGTTGAGTGTCAGAGGCCGAGTTAGCCAGGCACAACCACCACAGAGACACATCCCCGGCTACGTCCCCGGGTTAGTGGCGGCCACGCGTGCACACACAGCCCCTTCCGCGCGGCCCTGCCGGGCGGGGCAGGCACTGCTGGCGGTGTGCTCACCCCCCGCCTCACCCTCGGGCTCAGACTCTCTGCCCTACATCTCCTCTCAGCTCAACGGGGCATACGGCTGCTTCGTCGTCCTCCTCCCATGACCTGCGGAGAATCATTCGTAGTTTAAGGTGCTCCTTGAGTGGCCGCCGCCTGCGAGCCAGCCCCTCGTACCGCCCTCCCTTCCTGCGGCGCCTTCCGACACCCCAGCACCTTGCCCGACCACATCACAGAGAGGACGGCTGAGGGGGGTCACTCTTCTGTGTCGGTCGGGGGAGACCACAGTCCCTTTCGATGGCAGCCGTGGACAGCCTGAAATCAAGCCAAACAGACCGACCCAACCACACCACAGCTCAGTCTTGGATTTTGGTCACTACGGTCTGGCTGCGGAGTGGGGTTCCTAGCATCTGTTCCAGGGACACGGGGCCTTCCGTGGGGCTCAGCAATGCTCTACCGACGCAACTTTGGGGGCAAACGTCCAAGAGACCTGGCTGTAGGGCCTGATAGTGTCAGCCTCAGCTGTTAAGGAGGGGCCTAAGAATCCATTCCGAGGCCAACTGAAGGTAGGTCCAGGTCTCTCGATCAGAGCTGGATCTGAATCAATAAGATCCTCGATTCAAAAGGAAACATGAGGCTGGGCACGGTGGCTCACGCCTGTAATCCTAGCACTCTGGGAGGCCAAGGCGGGAGGATCGCTCAAGGTCAGGAGTTTGAAACCAGCCTGAGCAAGAGCGAAACCCCGTGTCTACTAAAAATAGAAACAAATTAATTGGCCAACTAAAAGTATATAGAAAAAATTAGCCAGGCATGGTGGTATGTGCCTGTCGTCCCAGCTACTCGGGAGGCTGAGGCAGAAGGATTGCTTGAGCCCAGGAGTTTGAGGTTGCTGTGAGATAGGCTGACACCATGGTACTCTAGCCCGGGCAGCATAGTGAGACTGCCCCCCTCCAAAAATGGGGGGGACCCCAAATAGATTATTGCAAACGCTGATGAGATGCTTAAGCTGGCTACAGCTACAGCTGGTTTTCAAACGACCCTCTCTCCTTGGCTTTCCTCAACATTAAGTCTTGCAGGGAAGGGGCTGCCCCAACCTCACCCCACCCGCACCCACCCTGGGGCTGGGGCGCCTTACCTTGGTGTGACCCGCGTGAGCTCATCTGAAGGATGCAGGATGCGGCAGGTGGTGAAGGTGAAGGTGGAGTTGGTCTGTGACATGCACTTCCCAGGGTGGTGCGCTAAATTGGGGGGAACAAAACATATTCCTTGCATCTAAGTATAACAACATTAAAAATAAAAATCCAGCACGACCCTCAACAGATGCAAGAAATGATGAGCTACCTTGTCGGCTGGATCTGGGCCGGGAAGGTGAAACACACATGTTCTGGACCGAAGGTGGTTCCTCAAAAAATAACTACAATTTTGAGCAGGGGGTCTGCAGAGCACAGAATTCCAGCTTCCGACCCAATCCAGACAAGGTTCCTCATCAGTATTCTTGGGCCAGTAGTGGATCCAGTTGGAATGAGGGGGCGTTAAAGGGCCTTGGTGGGTAAATTTGGTTTCCCTCCTCAGGCCAGAATCTGCTATCTTCTTTTGTTGCTTTATATTTGTTTTCATGGGTAAACAGGTGCCAAAACTCTGCTTGGAGGAAGGGGAGAGGTGCGGGCAGGGAAAGGCACTTGGCACCTGGACACAGGGCAAGGCTCATGGCTCCCTTTTCTGTCCACACAAAAAGGGGCTTAGGGAAGCTGGCTCCACTACTGCCTATTTGTGATCATCATGGTGGGAGATGGGGGCCTCAGCTGCCTCAGCAACAAGAGGTCCAGAGATCGGGGATCTCTGGGGTGCTAAGCTCTGGGATCAAGTCTGGTCTGACTCAAACCTAGTCTGGTCTGACTCAAACTCCTCTGATCAAGTCTGGTGGTGCAAGCAGCATGGTTCCCCCGCCCCAACTTGCCCCCTGCTGCTTTCTTGTCATCTCTGTGATTTCTGACTTCTAATGAAAATGAGAGGGCAACACGTTGTCCTCAATTTACTTCCTTTTAATGCCCTAACGAGCTGTTGTTGAGGCGGCTGAGGACTATGTTCAGAAGCAGAGAAAATCACAGAAGTGTTAGGACCATGCATCAGAAAGCTGGCAAAGGAATGAGTAATAGAGGCTATGGGAGACATCATGATTGTAGAGGTCAACCTCATTCATAACTCAAGCATCAGGGGGAAAAAAAAAAAGATGCTACACCAAAAAGCATGCACAACAAAGTACTGGGATGATTCTCCCACCCCATCCCTGCCCTCCCCTCTGCCCCTGTAACAGCTCAGCCCCCAGAGACCTCCTGGGAGAAAACGGATTAGGATATCAGAGGCCACAAGGATTCAGAGGCCATGAAGATTCAAAAGGCTGTGAACTAGAATCTTCTAGCTCCTTATGGTTAAGTTTTCCCTTGGATTTGACAAAAAGGAAAAGGGAAACAAAACAGAATAAGTTGGTGTCCCAAACCTACAGATCCACACACAGTTAACTGTGTCTTAAAAGAAAACCAGGAACCAGGTGAAACAAAACAAAACAAAACAAAACAAAAATGCTGGAGACAAACAAATTGAAGGCAGGCAGGACAAATCCAGAGCACAAAAATGGTGACAGCAACTAGAGGAGCAAGGCAAGGCTGGTTTGCCCCACTATGGTCTGACCCAGTTCTGTGTCAAAGGAGGCCCTTGTGGCACCTGGCGGGGCAGCCAGCACACGACCACAAGAGCAAACTCTCCACAGAGAGCTCCAGGCAAAGCGGGAGGAAGGGGAAAAAAAAACACATAAAAGTAGCCTTTATGAATCTTTGTCTCCCGACCAATAACCGTAATGGTTTCGGAACTCCGATAACTTAAGAAGTTGCTGCAGGCAAAACAAAAATGGAATAAGCTATGAAGAAAAGGCAACCAAACAATCACGATTCTCTTACTGCAATCAGGTCTAGAAACAAAAGCAACAAAATGCCTGAGAAAAGCATCCCGAATAATAGTCATGAGGGGTTATATTTGGGAAGGAAGGGAGGAAAAAGCAGGAAATAGAAAATAATTAAGACAAAATAGTGGAAAGAGAGATAACATTGTAAAAAATCAAATAAGGCTGGATTTAAAATCGGAAGTGTACCCCATTGAAACACATGGCCAGAATATCAAATCAAAAGGTCCCGAATGTTCATGCCCCCCTCCCCCACCTCACGTGTTAGATCTTCAATCACGACAGTGGTGTAAGATGGACATTTAAGAGACACGTTTGCATCAGCAGAAGCAAAACCCATCTTATACAAATGGGTTTTGGGGACAGGAAAAGGCTGCTAAAAATCCACAAGTCACCACTCCCCAGAAGCAATGAATAGCTTTAGAAGACCAAGGAAGATCCACAAGTATCAAAAGTGCCAAAGCCAGTAGAGGTTCAGCCCCTCCAAAATACCACAGGGACGCCTGGACCCGCGAGCTCTCCGCATGTCACCACTGACTGCCGGGCCGCTGCTGCACCTCCCTTCCTTGGGACACAACATAGACATAGTGAGTGGCCCAAGGCCGGGCTCGCCAGAGGCTCCTCGCACTTGCCACAGAGAAGCCACGGGCTGAGTCCCAGAGCCCTGGATGCAGGGAGAGAGCAAGTTCTAAAAAAAGAAAAACAAGAGGCAAATAAAACATTCTTCTTGGCATGGCGTAGGGGACTCGTGGTGATGGTTCACCTTCACTGCTGAAGTCGCCAAGACCACAGCACACCGAAGCTTTATCTAGACCAGAAGTTCTTTGCAGGTATTATGCATTCACCTCGTGCTGCTCAATTTGGAGGTTCAGAGGACAGGGTTTTTTGGATTTAACGCTTTTTAACTTCCTACTTATTCCCTCTCTCAACCTGGCTTCAGCGTGTTGTGACCAGATGAGCAGACAGTAAACAGGTTAGAGTATTAGCAGTGACAAGTACTGTCACCATTTTATTTAGGAATCAATTTGCATTGACCAGTAAGAAACCCTAGTCTTTTATTATTTTTAATTATTCTTCCCCCAGGTTCTGACACTGGTACAAAATTTGACAGCTTTAAGGCGCTGTATAGACCAAGCGGCTGCTGCTGTGTGGACCGCTCAGGCCTCCCAGGAGAGACCGGCAGGAAAGCCCACTGCTCGCATCATGAGAAGAAAAGAGCAGGACAAGGCGCAACACTGGTGGGGCCCAGGGGTTCCATGAGGACTTGGAGGATGGCTGGAACACTCTGCCACAGAAGCTGGCCACGGAAGCTTCGTACACACCAGCTTCTGCATTTCGTTCAGTTCCAGTGGTACTTTTCTACCCCCATCCCTGGGGAGGGGCAGACTGGTAACGTGCTGGGCATAACAGCAGCTTTCTTCTCTCTGAAGGCAATCAGAGAGCCTAGTCTTAAAGAAGTCCCACTAAGTCCACAGGGACGCCAGAGAATACAGCTGCACTTGGTGTATTTCCACGGGGCAGGACAACATGCACCCATATGTAGCTGCTTCAAAGGAGAAACACTGGCCATGCCACACACCCAAGCTATGTTTCTAAAATTTCATATAAACAACTTCTATAAATGTAAAAAAAAAAAAAATTACAAATGCACCTCAAAATCTTGGAAAATGGGACCCCGTCTTTGGGATGCACTGACAGCCTTCCCTATTCTTTTCCCTAACTCCTCCTGGGAAGCGGCCACTTGTGTAAAATAAACCAAATGCCCGACCTTTTTTCCTTTTCTTAACTTGAACGTGGAGTGTGTGATGCTGCCGTCACATGATCTGGATCCGCCTTGCAAGTTCTATAAACCCATTAACCAACACCCCCCTCCCGACAGTGGTACCCCAGAGGCCAGCCTTTTCTAACCCAAGCGAAGACAAACCTATTGAAAATAAAAGCCATTGTCCACCCAGCTTAAAGGCATGGCTTGAACTAAGCCTTAAGAATATCAGTTTTTTTTTTTTTAATGCCCCGCTTCCAATGATTTTGCTGCCTTTTGCTTGAGGGTTCGTGAAGAGAGGGAAGGAAGATGTTTCTTTGCCTGTCGGCTATGTAAGAAATAGCTCCCTTTTCATTAAACAAATAGGCAAGAAGCAATACCTCAGAATTCCTTCTAAAAGACTAAAATATCAAGGCATAGAAAATGCTTTAAAGTATTTTTCCCTGTCTCTTCATTATATAACTCTATCCATGACATTTTCTGGGGGGGAAAGAGTTCTATGATGAGTTCGTGTGGGGAAAGCTCCATAACGCTTTTGCTCACCCTACGATTCATCATTAATATAAATACTGTGTTAGGAATTAATGCAGCTTTAATGAGTATTTTCCTCTGGAGGAAGGGACTGGGGAAACAAGAACAGTTTCAGATGTAGCAGTGCAGCTTTCTTTGTAATAGGATAAAAGTGATCTTAAACTACAAAATAGTATTTGTACAGGATGACATTTTTTTTAAGCCCTTGTTTCCAGACTTAACACTGGCTTGTTTACTATTTTTCTCTGCCTAAGTATCTTTCAACAGAGGCCTCCTCTGGTCCTGCAGCTTATAAAGACGTGTGACACCAACGGCCATCAGATATCTGGCCTGCAGGAACTCAGGAGGCTCTTATCACACATTTTGAACCATATCAAGAGATCTTTCTCTGGTTTCTATACAACTTATTTTTGGTTTCTGCAAAATTAAAAGCCTACTCTTCCCACTACACCAAGCTAGTGTCTACTCTCTGTTTCATCTAAAAAGTATGTGACTTAAGACATGAACAATTTCACAGCATTGCACAGAGGGCCAAAAATTCTCTAGGGTGCTCCTGGGGTGTCCTCTAGAGAAAAGGGGATTTTTCTGAAGGCTGTTAAAATGTCAAAAGGGCAAATGCAAAAAAAAAAATCTCTTTGGATCCTTCCCAGGACAACAAGGCTGGACTCCATGCCCTCTGTCCCTCCTTCTCTGGCAGACACCAACAGGCAGGGGGAGCTGGCCTGGCTGAGCTGCACTGAGACCTTTCCTTGCTGGCGATTTCAAAGCCAGTTCGAGAGCACTTCTCCCAGAGCTTCTCCAGGCAGAGCAGCAGTATAGCTCACCCAGACCTGGACACCGTGTGCTCCCTGACCACGTCTGAAAAGTGGCAGGTGCAGACGCCTACTGCTCTGAAACCCACGCAGGTGCTTCTAGGAGTGCTGGAGGGCTCTCCATGGTTTTCAGAGGTGAGAATGCCACACAGAAATCGCTTTCAACAAGCAGGCTTTGTTCTGGAAACTTTAAGCAGGGTTGACTCCATGCCATTTGTTTTGGAAGAGTCAATGCTTTCATTCTTTGTTCATTTTTCCACTTCCGGGTGGCAGTTGGCCTGTTTTGCTCTGGTTTAACTCACATTCTGTGCAAAAGCACAAGGGCTTCCTGCACATCTCCTAACACAGGTGGGTGTGAGCAGACCGTCCACCCTGTCCATAATGACCAAACTCCCCTGGAACTGCTACAGAACCAGGGCTGGATCGAGAGGTGTTCCCATCAGAGTAGGAACTCACCGTCACTCTCTCGGTGGAGACCAGGGAAAGAAACTTCCCTACACCCAAGGGTCTGTGAACGAGGTGTACCAGATGTTTCCTTTCATATCCATGGAGCCCCCAGGCCAACTTGTCCCTACAGGCCTATCTGGACCCTGCTTCTGTGGCCAGTGGTGGAACTAAAATAAAGGCGAGACAGGATACCGGCTGGCATGGCTTTGCTCTAACTGGCCCTGCCACCAGGCAAAGCTGCAGGAATTCTCGGCTTTGGCCTTACTGTCTGACTCCTTTCCATACAAGCTGTTCTCTTCCCTTCCCTCACTCAGTAGCTGTTCATGAGCAGAGCTTGGACCCAGGTAGCAAACGAGGAAGAGACAAAAGAGGCTAATTCTTGGCTTTTGCCCTACGTGTCCAGATGCAGGAGATTTAGAGAATTTTATCAGGGTGATTTTGACCAAGTATGATTTTTGCCTTCCACACTGACTTTAGGATCTCAGCCCCAGTTATAACAAAGCTCTACTGCAGGGCCACTGCCAGACAAGATGCGTGAGCTCGTTTTAGGATATTCCCCCACATGAAACAGTCTCCGTGTATATGAGTATTAAAATTAACTGACCTAGGCCGGGCACGGTGACTCACACCTATAATCCTAGCACTCTGGCAGGTGGATTGTTTGAGCCCAGGTGTTCCAGACCAGCCTGAGCAAAAGTGAGACTTCGCCTCTACTAAAAAATAGAAAGAAATTAGCTGGGCAATTAAAAAAAAATTATATATATATATATATATGAATGAATAAATTAGCGGGGCATGGTGGCGCATGCCTGTAGTCCTAGCTACGCAGGAGGCTGAGGCAGGAGGATCACTTGAGCTCAGGAGTTTGAGGTTGCTATGAGCTAGGCTGACGCCATGGCACTCTAGCCCGGGCAACAGAGTGAGACTTTGTCAATCAATCAATAAATCAATCAATAAATCAATCAATCAATAAATAAATAACCTTGAATCTCTCTATTAGTGGCACTTGGCTTTAATCCCACCCTCCTTCTCACTTTTAAGGGTCAAGGTAATTCAACTGAACTGTCCATCCCACTAGCCAACTACTGATTTAACTCTGACTTTAACTCTTAATCCCGTACCACATGCAGGCTCTTCCCCACGTAAATACCTAAAATTGAATACTCACAGGACAGGATAATGCTTATCTCTGATACAGCGTACTTTCTATGTGAATTAAAACTTTATAAAACATGTCACTGAAATAAAGTAAAACTATAACCTAAAAATTGTTTTAAGTAATTCATTTTAATGGTCTAAATCATTTACAGTACAGTAACATGGAATCATCCTTTTTAAGACATGGGATTATAAAAATCAACAGATGATGCTTCAAATAATACATTAAAATATATTAATATTTTTTTTCAGCGCTCAAAACTTTTCTCCATGGGACAGCAGGCCCTAGACAAAAGTGCCTAATAGACAAGTGTTCCAAGTTTCCTCCCATCGTAACAGTTCTGTCTCCCTACCGAGTCCTCCCAGGCAGAAGGCAGTTCCTGGGATAGTGCTGTTTGGCAACAGAGAAGCCCAAGCACTGAGGACGGACAAAGGCAGGTACCAGATCACCCTGGATACAAACCCTAAGACAGAAGATGCCCTGGGCCTCCTCCTGAAGCCCATCTATATGTGACTCCATGACTGCAGGCATGGAGCCACTCGGAGCCTCCGGGATGATTTAGTTAGGGACTCACGTGCGTCTCACGTTCTAAGAATCAAATGGTCCTGTCATGCCCAATAGACAAAAAAGAGGTAAGTCACTGTTTACGGTGTCCCTCTGCATCCAGCTTTTAAAGGTGAGTCTTACCCAGAAAAGAAGCTTAAAAGAACTCTGCTCTAAATGATCAGATCCTTCCTAAATTACCTTCAGCAACCCAGATAATTCTTTTTTGATCACACACCTCCAACCTTACCCCTTTTCTACACAGTTTTAATTGTAAATGTTTGTGCCTCTCTTCAAATAAAGTTGCGGGGATGACTGAGCTGCAGGTGTGAGTAAGGAGGAAACAAGCAGAAAATATATCTCTGTTTATGGTAAAGAAAGCGGTCAGGACTTTAGTCCTCATAAGTGGTCCTCTCTCCCTCTGTCCTCTGAGAGAAGTTCTTTTTTGACTTAATAAGCTTTATTCTTTCTGTGCATCTTCTCGAAGATGCAACTAATGGTTTTTCTTTGAACTTCTAAGGACTCAACTTCTATTCTACCTGTCAGACTGCAGTGAGGACATCCCACTTAACACCATGCCTACCCCACCCCAGCCACAGAAATCAGCCTGACATCGTGTTTCTGTACCATTGCCCGCCTTGCAGATGGGCACCCGTGCTGATGACAAAGGGTGGCACGATACCACAGCTGGTTGCCCTTTCTTGAGTGTGCAGATACGAAATAAGAAACATTTCCATTCCCTCACATGCTTAATCTGATCATTGCTAAAACAAACAAAAAAATAAAAAAATCCCAACCAAACCATAAACAAACCTATGTGTTAAACAAACCTGTTTTACTTGATGACTCCTCTAAAGTTTATGTCAAAGAAAAAGAGAAAAGCTGGTTCCAAATAAAGTCCCTTGACCACAGCTGTCTGAAATTAGCCAGGGGCTGCGAGACACTACCAAGAGCCTCGGCTCTTTCCTGCTTTGTATTTCATGGGGAGTGTTGTGGCCTTCACAAATGAAAATCACGAGGATATATGTCCTTTCTTCAAACTTGGTGACTCATGAATGTTATGAGGATGGTAACATTGAGTCAGTTCATCTTCTTCTGGGCCTCTCTCCTTATCCCACAAAAGCTCTGTCTCCCAAGCACAAGGAACTGAGAGATCCCGAAGTCGGGCCAAAGCATACCGTTGGGGTAAAGAGTAACCACGTGACCCCGTGATTCCCAGGGGCCCTGAGTACAAAGCTTTGTCCCAGTTGGTAATTTTGCAAACTCAGGGCCACAGCTTTAATGTTGTGGGGAGGGGGAAGGTCAGGTAGAGCTCTTTTCCAGATTCATCTAGTGACCTCTCTAGAAGAGCTTAATGATAGTCTCTTGGGGATTACTTAGTTAAGGAGTATTGCTGAAACACTTTTATAAAATCCACTTCGAACACACATATAAGCTAGAAAGGAAACAACATATCTCCTTCACTGAAGTTAGGAAAGTAAAAGGCTGATCTATCGATGTTGGTCTGAAATCCTGATTATTTCCTGGGCCTCTTTCTATTTTAATAAAGCATACAGGTAAATAGCTTCTCTCACACACCTTCTGAAAGACCAGTGCTCATAATTTCCCTAAAACTGGCCAGCTCACCTCAGTTTGGAAATCACCAGGGGACTTGGGAATCTGCTCCTTAGATACAGGGAGACGCCCGCAACAGGAAGAAGGGCGCTGATGTTCTCAGGGGACCCAATAATCCACTTCTTTTTAGCAGCCTTTCCTGCTCCCACTTTAAGAGCCCTGCTGGGCCATGCACCTCCAAGATGGGCAGGGAGCTACACCCATTTCTTACAAATAGGAGGCATCAGACTCTGTATTTAAAAACAGAACCGCGCAATGGGAATGCTTTAATCATCACCCACACAGACGAGCGGAAGCTACAGACAGAGAGCCACTACGGATGGTGCCCGGAACAGAGGTGAGAATGGCCCAGAACTCTGCCTCCGGGAAAGGTGCCAAGTTTACAGGACTTATCGTGGTGCCCTCACCAGACCCCTCCTCCTCCTCCTCCTCCTCCGCGGCCGCTGGCGGCTCCTGCATCTCCTCTGGGGAAGCCTGAGGCCGGCTTCGGCAACTTCTGCTGCCTGAGACAGTCACGTGTGCTCGGGACCTCTCACCTGAGGTCTCTGGGTGCTGAACTGCCGTGGAGGTAGCTAGGCCCGGGAGAGAAATGTGGTCACCTGTGTCATCTTCTTCAAAGTCGTTAAGGCAGTATACTTCGTCCAAGTCTACGTCCAGTGTCCGGAAGCCCTTGGTGACCACACCAGGCCGGGGGTCCAGGATGCCCCCAAGGTGAGGCTGGGCCAACTGCTGCCAGTGGTGAAGGGTGGCAGAACCTTGCAGGAGAAAGGGAAGAGAAGAAGGGAGGGCAGGGAGAAGAGAGGGTTAGGATGGAAGTCTAAGATGATGGCTGTTCCCCAAACGCAAAGTGGTTAGTGTGAACCCGGCAAGACCTGAGCACAGGGGCACTAAGGTGGGGATTTCAGTGGAGCTGCCCTGGCCCTTCCTGACATGCAACAGTAGCTAAGATCCTACCATGCCCAGAAGGAGAATCAAGTTAAGGAATCAGCAATTTTTTTAAAAAAAAGTAAAATTAAAGCCATACTCTGTGCCAAGAGGATTTGGTGACAAAGTTTTTGTTTTAATCAGCTGATGCCATCCCCCAAATTCAACACATTGTCATTTTACAAATAGAAGAGGAAAAAAAATGGCAAGATAAACATAAAACGAAGGTGCCATGGGTACCCAATTTGATGGCAAATACGAACTGCTGGTAACAGGGAGGACACAGCTCGGGCAGAATAAGATAACGCCAAACCAACCCCAGGACTCACAACAAAAGAAAAGCAAAAAGAAATTAAAGAAGCACACAAAGATAAGTGATTGGTGTGACCGTCACACCTCCTTTACTTAGGTTCTCTGTATTCTGCCAGCAACCTCAAGGGGCTGCAGGCTTAGGGAGAGGAGTCAGGTTAAAGAGGTGTGATTTAAGAACATGGTTAAGTTCACACAGAGGTCTAAAGCAGAGGAGCCCATCTCCTCAGTGACACCAGACCCTGGGACTCAGATGACATCAGGCAAGGTCTGTAATAACACCGGAGTGTGTCCCTAAGGACCTCAAGGTGTCACAGGTGCTCTCCAAAGAGAAGCATTCCTAGGCCAAATGTGTGTAGGAAACGTGGGTTACGAAGTGTATTTACAGAGGGGCATCTCAGAGCCTTCTAGTACGCTATAATGCCCTGGGTTTCTGCCCAACCCGCTTGACAGAGCAACCCTTTTTTCCCCCTTGGAATATTTACAAATACCTCGCATGATGCTGGTCATACTGGTGGACTATGAGGCTGAGTTCTAGCCCCATTCTACAGACGAAGTCAACCAAGTGTACACAGTCACACAAACAAACATTCTACACTCAAGAGACACTTTTGAAAAGGTCCTCAGGAATCAGAAGGCAGGAGCACAATGGATGCCCATATAGATGGACACCCAGATAGTCGCCATGGGTTTACCGAGGGTATACTTATTGGGTAGGCGAGGCTACCCCAGGCTACCAGGCTGCCATGGGGAGCAAAGAAAAGGAAGCAGGGGTGCTAGGAACCAGCAGCTCGGAAGCCAAGATAAAAGAGAAGGGCAATATCCACAGGTGGTGGGATGAGGAGGGACCCTCTCATGTGCCCAAACACCACTGGGAAATAACTTCTCAGGCTGGAACAATCTCAGCCAGGGAAGGTTGAAAACATTGTATAAGTGGGCAATTTCAAATCCACTTAAGAGAAAAAAACCCGTACATACTGCTAATACATGTTTAAAGAGTTCCTAGACAACCACTTCAAGGTCTGTGCCAGTTTCATGTGTGTACATGTATAACAGCAATCTACTTAATCTGGATCTATTGAATATAAATAAAAATACTCCAAATGCAAAAAAAGAAAAGAAATAAGATAGTTAGGAGTGAAGGTAATGAAAGAAGGCATCACATACCTGTTCTCTCACTAGGTGGCAATATACATCTAGAGCAGTGGTTTTCAACTAGGGATGACTTTACCCCCAGGGGACATTTGGCAATGTCTGGAGACATTTTGGTTGTCACAGTTGTGAAGGAAGAGGGGGATGCTAATGGCATCTGGTGGGAAGAGGTCAGAGATGCTGCCAAACATCCTACAATGCACAGGATAGGCCCCACAACAAAGAATGATCCGGCCCCCAATGTCAACAGCGTCAATATTAAGAAACCTTGCTGTAGAGCTGTGGTTCTTAACACTCAGATATTTTGAGAATCTGAAGGAAGCACGAGAGCTCCCTTTAGGGAGGAGATGTTCCCCAGAGAAAGGGAGTTTGCATGCTAGCAACACTGTCAGGACTTCACAGACCTGCTGAGACCAGCTCATGGGATTCTGAGTCCCAGGTGAAAGAAAATAGCATTGTTTGTTTGTTTGTTTTTTAATTAAGTTACCCTGTATTGAAGCATGCCTGTATGGCAGTTTGTTTACATGCATTACATCAACTCACTCCTCAAAATGACCCTATGAACTAAGTGATATTACACACTTTAAAGACAGGGGAACAGAGGCTGCCTAAAGTCAGATCAATTTCCAAAGTCACTTAATTAGTGGTGGCTTGGCCAGGCTTCAGAGCGAAGGCCAGGTTCTTTTGGTAATCTCACACTGCCCACTCCCTCAAATCCACAGGTCTGAAGACAACGAGGATATCTGTGGTCTATCCAGGAGCCCTGGCCACTAGCTATATAAATGGTCAGCAGCAAAACTTCCCGGTGGGTGTCCAGGGCCTGCCAGGACATATGCACTCCTGCTGATGGAAATTCTCCGCCACCCCTGGGGACCCCCATTCACACTACCTAATGTGCCCCATCCGTGTGCTCACTGGCTGCACAGGCATATTCCTGACAACAAAACAGCAGCAGGGAGAAGGCTTAAACAAGCCATTGTCATGTTCAGCTCTGCACACTGGGGTCTGTGAAGGATAGTAAGAAATCCCCAGGTACAGCGTGGCCACATCACTTCTACTGTGGGAAGAGGAAAGCCAATAGATTCTGGAAAGCAAAGGACCATGGCAAGAAAAGGCTGAATCTCCTTGTCCTTCTGAAAGAGGCTTGACATGCCCACAGTCCACAGGGAAAGAACTCAAGGAGGCTGGAAGTTGGGGCCCCAAAACAAGAGTCCCGCAGGTCTCACTCTTTCATCTGTTCAACAGGCTGCCTCATCTCTCCACCTCCACCAATGGGCTAGAGAGAGAAAGGAGGCTTCAACGGATCTCCTGTGTGCCATTAAAGAGGCTACAGAAATGCATTCCCCGAAAGTGCATAGCGAAGGAGACTTAGATTACAACTAAAAGATGTGGAAACATGCATCATACGTGGATTTTTACCCCATGCTTTGGACATCCCTTACTTACATTAAGAACAGCCAACCTTTATTGGGCACTTACTAAGTGCACTCTTCTGAGAGGTCTACACTTATAATTTGTTAATTCTTCACAAGAACCCTGCTGTCTCCACTTTACAGATGAAGAAACTGAGTACAGGGTGGTAAAGTAACTTGCCAGAGGTAGCACAGGTGGCAAGTGGCCAATCCAGGACTGAAACGGAGACTGGCTCTCTTACCCCCTCTGCACTGGCTCTCAGCAGTGAAGAGGCCTCACACGTTTAAGTCTCAGAAATCTAATCAGTTAACACCCTTGAATGGCTTTTCTAATCCCCATGCAGGTGGTTTCTCAAACCCTACTGTGCCATTTCAGTTATGTAATGCTGTGGGCCTCATAGACCATCTCCACTCCTGGCTGGTCCCAAGGCCCCTGGAGGGTTTGCCAAGCCCAGCACCTGGGCAAAACATCTCACACATCACCTCCCTGCCACCGCCGCTGCCTGAGCCACCAGGAAGGAATTCTACCCAACTCCTGGCTGCCTGAGTCCCTCCTTTCACACAAGAGGGCATACCAATTAAAAAGTGAATATGAATTGCATCTCATTCAGAGCCCAGGTCGCCTCTTTCCTATCCATTTCCCCAGCTCATTCCTCAGCTTGGCTTGTTTTACCTGTCAAACACAAAGCTGGAGAATCACTGTATTAGCTCCCATTACCAACTCAACATGACACTAGTCCACTCCTCTCACCCACATAAAGATGAGACGGGGATTAGGCAACAGGACAAGGAAAAAGAGAAACCTTCGTGTTCATGGTTGCCACCAAGATAAAGTTCTATGAAACAAGGGTGTGGACAGCAGGGGAAACCTAACGATGGTCACTGACCCTTTCCCTCTACACCCTAGTGTTCCCGATAAAAAGTTTCCACATCATCAAAAGAGAAGAAAACCAAACCCACTTATGTCTGAGCAGCAGCCAGGACTTAAAAGAATAAAAGCTGGAGGATAATGCAGAGCTTAGAAGCATATGCTTTCTCTTAATTACACACTGTTTATTTGGAAATACTACCATGATTGTAATTAATCAGAAAGGAATATCAAAATTCAGGAAAAGAAATACTGCCTGCCTCAGTCTTCTTAACACAGATCTCTCTGTCTCTCTCTCTCTCTAGTTTGAATGTCTTTTTTGTTCATCACTTGCTTAAAACTTATCAGGTAAGATGAAGAGACAGGAGTGCTAGCATTCTTAAACACCTAGCTCAGCTATTTTGGCTGACACAATAAGGAGATGGCAAGATTAATTAAACAGGTAAGGGAGACATTAGATGGGAGACACAGATTGGCTATCTACTGTGATCCCAGCCAACGTTCTCCAGGGTACTTTTACCTGGGCTGCTGGAGATCATGGGAATCCTATCAGCTTCTTAGCAGGCCAAGGGAAAAGGATAAGGTAAGCACATAACCCTAGCAGAATGCTGGTCCAGGTCTCAAAACCAGCAACTTGGCCCTGTAGACTTGAGCTGCCAGAAATAGGAACAAGTTTGGGGAGCCCAAGTTTAATAAGCAACTATTAGGTGCCAGGCGCAATACAAAACACATCACATTTACTCCTCACTGAAATCTCGTTTGATAACTATGAGCCTATTTCACAACTAAGGGAAACAGGGCTCAAAAGATGGGGTAACTTATCCAACACCACAGAGCTGTGCTGAACGTAGAGTTAGGCAGACTTCTATGTCAGCATCCCACCTTATCAAATTTAACATAGTAAACACAACAAATAATTGGGGAGGGAAGAAAGAAAATACTGGATGTATTTTAAACAGCTATGAAGACAGAACTACCAAATGGACCTACATCATGAGGATATGTTATAGGCCATAGTGATAAGTCATGACTTTTTAATGGTAGTGACTTAGCCTACAGGGGAGCCTAGTAGTACTATAGATAAAATTCATCTTGCAAATCTAATGAGATTTCCTCTTATTTTTATTAACTAATCACAGAAATACCATTAAGTCACAGGATTAAAACAATAAAGATGAACTGGTCAAAACAAATTTTTAAAAATCTCTTCTTGCGATGTGCTTCGAAAATTAATCCAAAAACATATTCTTGGAAGATCTAATGAAATGCAATCAAATACAGAAAGCAGACAAGACAGAGATGATAAATTCTAATGATCTTTGAGAGACAAAGGAGGAAAAAAAGAAAAGTAAGGCAGAAAGTAAAATTGCAGAAATGAAAGATTTTATTGAAAGAAAAACAGATATAATGTAGATCAGCAAACAATCACCAAGCTTACAACTGAATAAACAATTTTAAAAAAGAATGAGCCATACCTTTTCTGAACTCTAGGAAGGACCTCGATTATACAATTTAAAAGTAATCATAAAAACTGAATAGCCCACTCTTCCTTCCTTAGAAGAATAGGAGACCCCCAGTCATGTCTTGGGTCTTTTATAAGCACAACCTCACCTTACAGCATGCAGTTTCAACAGGGAAAGGGGACGAACACAGGTTACTTTGAGGCGAAAATAAGTGTATTCTTTTTAGGCACAGAGCACAGATATACGTATAGTACAACAATATATCTGTGTTATTAAAAGTTCATGAGGGGGATAAGATTAGGAAAAAAAAGTCTAAAAAGGCTCCTTAGAGGGGGTAATAATTTTTAGAAAGTTGAGAAATATTTTGCCTTATAGAAATTCTGATTTGGCTTTGCATTAGAAATGTAACAGAGAGCTCTAAAACACCTTCTCAAATCCATATGGCTTTCCAAACTAAAACGATACAAAATGAAAAATACAAACACTTGCTAGCTTTTGGTGGGGCTGTCGTAGGTAAAAACAAAAAACCGGTTTATGATGCCTAAAGAGACAAAAAAGAAAGAAGGCAGGCAGTTTTTCCATGAATTTGAATCATCCGAGGAGCCCCTGATAACTAAATCCATGAACTGCCCCTGGCAGAGGGCCGCTGGAGGTACAGAACTCACTTCCCTGCACAGCCACCCGCTTCCCGGCCGAATTTCGGCCTCTACAGGCTGTTTACGTGAAGATCCCATCAGGACACGTGAGCCCACAAATCACTTTCAGGTGGTTATTGGGGTGCAGGGGGGGGGAGAGTTGTGGAAACAAAACAAGAACAGCGTTTGCTTGGCACCCCTCCCTGACCTCAAAATTTCTGAGGAGCCAAAGCCTTAATCCCCTGCACTTCTCAGAGGCCGCCACCCCAGGCTTGACCTAATTGGTTTTTTGAGTCACTAGCACCCATAACGCTACGGAAGGTGGCTTTTTATTCCTAAGGCTCTGAAGGGAGCGGCGTCCCCGCGCCCGCCCGGCTAGCGGAACTCGAACCAGCAGCGCGGGCGGCTGTCGCGGAAGAAGAAGGAGTAGGCGTGACAGACCGGGCCCGCCTGCCGCAGGTGCAGCAGGGCCCACAGGGAGTCGCCCACCAGGGCGGACAGGGGCCGGGGCCCGCGGCGGTCACCTTCCAGCGGCTTCACGATCTGCAGCTTCTCGGGCAGGTAGGAGCGGCTGCTGAAGGACATGCCGGAGAAGCCGGTGAACTCGGAGAAGCGCGAGTGCGTGCCCAGCGACATGATGCTCTCGGTCGGCGTGAGGGAGCCGCTGCGCAGCTCGCCCTTCTCCGCCAGCTCGCGCAGCTTCCGCTCCTGCTCCTCCTCGAAGAACCGCCTCTCCGAGAGGTAGTTCTCCCGGCGGAGGGACAACCGCCGCAGCGCCGTCTCCAGGTCGTGGGAGCCCGGGGTGCCCGGCGTCCCCGGCTTCTTGCTCCGCTCGTCGCTTCTGGAAAGGAGAAAACGCGCGCGTGAGGGCGGGCCGCCGGCAGGGGGCGCTGAGGACGCGGCGGCGGGACGTGTGTCCCCCGGAGCGAGGCCGGCTGCTCGCTAGGTCGCTCGCGTGCAGGCGACCACCAGAGGCCAATGCGCGCCCTGAACAACTGCTCCCCTCGGTGGGGTTTTGCGGGGTTTTTTGGGGGGCGGAGAGGTGCCCAGGACTAAGGTGGAATGAAAACTTGCACATACTAAGTAAAATCCGGTCGCTCTCAACATCTACCTCAGGAACATTCAGGAAGAAACCTTCTGCAGGTGACAGACAGTTCCTGCCTACCAGAAGGGCAACTCGTTCAAGCGAGGCTTCTCTGTCCTCCTGAAGCAGAGAAGCTGAAAACTCAAAGGTGAACAAAACCAGCCCTGGGGGCCGGGCGCGGTGGCTCAGGCCTGTGATCCCAGCACTCTGGGAGGCCCAGGCGGGAGGATCGCTTGAGGTCAGGAACTCAAGACCAGCCTGAGGGAGAGTAAGACCCCGGGTCTCTACTAAAAATAGAAAAAAAGTAGCCGGGCATGGTGGCATATGCCTGTAGGCCCAGCTATTCAGGAGGCTGAGGCAAGAGGATCGCTTGAGCCCAGGAGTTTGAGGTTGCTGTGAGCCATGATCACACCACTGCACTCTAGCCGGCGTGGCACAGCAAGATTCTGTCTCAAAAAACAAAACAAAACACCCCAGCTCTGATCAAGGAGCTTCCCATCTGACCCAATCGGTCCAGAAGAATCAATTTGATTAAGGAAGAGGATGCACAAAGTGGACAATGTTGGTGGAGAGAGGAAGTTCTGCAAGGCTTCAGGACAAAGAGGAACTGACCACTGAGGCTGAGGAAGGCCCATTCTACAGATGCACAGCATGACAGACACTTTGGGGTGCCCTGACTCCCTGCACCCCATCTTCTGAAACAAACCAGATTCTGGTGAGGAGACAGAGAGCCTGAGTCCTCCCCAGCCTTTCCAACACCCAAGGTACAAAGAGGTCACAAAAACCATGTCTATTCTGTAGTCTAACAGTGAAGATAAACAGAAGAAATATTGGTGAATCCTCCTCCTCTAGCAGTGCACAGAAAAGCAGACTTTCTGGTATCATCTTGTCATACCTCTCTAAATTGGTTAAAATATCAGTATCAGGGATATGTGTACGCTCAGTGGGTTGGCAGAATAGATGTGGGAACTGTAATGTCTGTATCTTTCAGGCGATTCTCATCCACCTCCCGCTTACGATTACTGAACTGCATTCAATCGTACTACCTCTCTTCTCCTCAAAACAGAAGAACTCCCAGCTCACTCACCCCAGATCTGCTGCCTCTGTTTCCAGGATGATGCTGTTGGTCTTGTTGTCAAGGACAACGTTGCCGACATCACTGCCGTAGAAGCTGGACCGGGGTGTGCTGACACAGCTGGACAGGAGGGAGTTCATGGCAGAGGACTGGTTGGAGCCAGGGATGTTCATGGGGGAAGGGGTCAGAGACCTCTGCTTGACCACCTGGTTGATGTTTCTCACGGTCTCAAAGACACGCTTCTGGTGACTGGGGAGAATGCACAATACCCATGAATAAGCAAGTGCAGGAATGATCTTGGAGTTAAACCCTCCAAAAATTATCAACTGAGGAGCCAAAAGGCACCTGGCCCGTGACAAGCCCCCAGGCAGCCTGCTATCTTGTGCCTGCCACGTGTTTCTCAGGGTGTTTGGCTGCCTCCTCCACAACGTGAAATTTGAGAGACTCAACACCCACCGAATCCAGGACTCTAATGCACAACTGTGTGCTAGCAAGAGTGATACTGCTTTTCACATCCCTAAATCTTGACCTACAAATAAAAATACTTAAGTATTACTTCTGTCTCACAGCTAGTTTTCTTCTTTCATGATATGCAAGCTCCAAGAGAACAGTGTATCATCTGGTAGGGCTCAATAAATATTTGTAAATGGGTATTTTTTGACCATTCACATAAAAAAATGACAAAAAATTAGTCTTAAACTTCTACAATGAGATGAAAAATCCCATATTGTCTATTTTAAGAAACTGCTATTTCTAAGAGCAGAACCACACTTTGATGCTAATTTGTTCTCTTTTAAAGAGAAATGGGTAGGCACGTGTCTATAACTGCCACTTCCATAGGGGCTGCAGACAGCATCACACATACACTGAAGCTCACTTGGACACTTCTCACTCTCAGGATCTCATGTACGTTCTATGGAATTTGGGTACAGAGAAATCACAATGAAACCTGGTCCACAAGTTCCTTATAAACACCTTGGGACAGGCCAAGCACAAGACCTGAAGTTAGGAAGAGAGACAGTAGAAGCCAGCGTCCCTGCGTGTATTCATGAAAGAAATGGAACCCTTGTTCCCACCCCTAGAGGCACCTTCTGTATCTCATACCACATCATTGTATTTCTTTTCCTAACAGATGTTAAAACATTTTTTTAAAGTAACATTCTCCACTGAAAGGAAAGATGAAAATGTACAGCTATGTCAAGATGGAGCTTGTGTTGAGATGGGAAATACATCCCTCCTTTTCTGGAACTTTCTGGAAGTTCATAATTTGTCTTTAAAACCTAATAAGAGGCACTAAGGGATGTTGTCAGCTGTGTCCTATTATTTCCCTTGATCTGGACCAGGAAGGACCACAGTCATCATCACTGTTGGTGTCTGAGGCCCAAACACTGCTGGCTTTTGAACCACAGGGGTCACAAGCTGTCTCTGAGGAGCTCAGAACAACAAAACCTGTTTGGCCGTACGTGATGTCGGGAGACTCAGGCTCTTCCAGCTGCAGCTCCTTGCGCATCGTTCCCTCGATCTCTGCTGCCAAGGAGTCCTGGGAAAAACCAGAAGACACACCCGAGTGAGCAGCAGTTCAAATGCTGTCTCTAAACGAGGATGCAGCCAGGTGAGCCACGCACAGTAAACTGAGCCACCAGACGTCCCGCAACACAAGGCTAACAGCTTCCTCCATTATCAGAGACCCTGGCCAAGCAATCGCCACAGCAGATTCTGAATGTAGCCGTACCGTTAGGCACTGTGTGTAAAGCCCCTAACTCACATGCAGCCAAGTGTCTGAAAGCAAACCCTGCGTTCTCCTGGCCAAATCATGGAGCTGCAACTGCGGCTACAAGGAGAGACGGAGAACTTACAGGGGGAATAGTATGTTCAGAATGATCGGGCTCACCAGGTGAATTTCCAAATACCTCTGAGCTTGTGAACAGTGATACGCATGGCATCACAGCCCATACAGCAGGCCAAGCTATTGTCTACAGGGTCTGCTCATCCAGGATTCTAGCACAGACTGTGCCAGGCCGGCGAACCTGCGGCCTTCTGATTTCAAAATTGATCTTTCTTAAGTGTCAAAGGAGGCAAGAAAAGCTTCATCTTTCTCTGCTGCACCTCTTTTAATGAAAAGGATTTGTTCTGTAAAATTTGGGTCCAGTCAAAAGGCCACACTTAAGGACCTGGGAGACACATATGGCCTTAAGGCTGCAGGTTCCCCACCCCCAGATGGCCCTCCAGCTTTGGCTTGCAAGCAAGCACTCCCCACCTCCAAAGGGCACTCTGGTTATATGCTGAAGAGAAGGTCTCTAAATGCATGAGCTAAATCATGGGCACCGTCATCTCTGGGCCTCTGCTCTCATTCTCCCGGGCCTCCCACAAGGGAAGTTCCTCTTCCCAACTATCCATGGCCTGCCACCTTTTAACAACCTGCTGAGATTCCTGTTTCTACTAGGAATCTTGCATTTCCTCCCAAGGAGACACCAAATACATTAAGTCTTTGCTACTTTTCTGAACAGTTCACTTATTTCTCTCTCCAGCTAGGTTGTGAGCTTTGTGGGTCAGGGCAAGGCCAGTCACTGATGGCTTCTCACTTTACCAATGGGCCAGGCCCTGAGTGAGACTCACAGTATTGCTACCAAAGGGCAAGTTTGTTTAAAGAAGGAGAGGAAGACCAATTCAACAATAAAGGCTGACTGATAGATGCCCTCCAACCCGCCTCCCCCATACCACCCACCACTCCTCAGTGTAGGAGGTAGAACCTAACAATCCCTCACACAATGCAGGCAGATGCCCATAGGACCAAGTGTATACACAAAAGCACCTGCTGAGCACCAGAGCAGGACACCCATTAGGACAACCTAAAAGAGCTAAATCCGTGTTAACCTACAGAATGCAATGAGGGAAACATGTGGGAGCCACTACCACAGGTGGCTAGGGAGCACCTGAAATGTAGCCATTGTGACTGATGAACTGAATTCTTACTTGCATGTCATTTTAATTGATCTACATTTACATAGCCACAGGTGGCCAGTGGCTCCCGGCAGATAGCACAGGGGGACTCCAGGGCACCCACCTCCCAGCTCCACAGGCCACAGGGCCGCTGCAGTCTGGAGGCTGGAACCAAGTGGGGAGACTCCAACAGGAGCCAGCAGGAAGCCCAATCAGGTAAGGGCTACTGGGCTTGTTTTCAATTCTTATTCACAAATATGCAATTTCATTTAGTAATTATTACCCGCAGATTGCCATTAAATAGAAGTCTCGTGAAGAGCTTCCCTAGGTGAGTCTGAGATCTTTTTAAGCCAGCTTATTTTTCTTAATACTATTTATTATTCACCATATAATTTACATGCGGAATCTTATAAAAGAGAGATGAAGGGACCTTCCTACACCTTAAGAAAAACAAGATACCAAATTTCTATAGTCAGCCCTCCTAATCCATGGGTTCCATATCCTTGTATTCAACCTAACTGACATGGATAATTTAAAGAATATGTACAAGTAAAAACAAAAATACAGAATAACCATTTACATAGCATTTACATCATATTAACAATAGGGTATCATAAGGAATCTAGAGATGGTTTAAAGTATTAAATATATGGGAGGATTTGTATAGATTATATGCAAATACTAAACCATTTTATGCCAGGGACTTGGGCATCGGAGGATTTGGGTATCTACAGAGAGCCCTGGAACCAATCCCTCTGGATACCAAGGTAATTTCAAAGCAGTGCTGGGGTAAAGTCACCAGCAGGCTCTGGGACTTTTCTGGGCCATGACCCTCTGCCTCTGGCAGTCTGGAGAAGCCTGTGGACCCCTTCTCAAAATAATATTTTTAAATGAATAAAATTAATAGGATTACAAAGGAAGACAATAATATCAATATAATAACATTTGTGATTTACATACATACATACATACATACATACATACATACATAGATATATATATATATGGCTTCAGGACTGGTATTTACTGTCATTCTGAAGTGGAGAATAGCATCAGCAGTATTTTGAGGCGTCTGTAACAACTGAAATGTGCTATGAAAACACCTGTGATTTCTACTGGTGACAGAGTCACGGGTAGTGCTAATACCACTGTGGCTTGTTGCCAACCTTCACATAGGAAGGAAGTACTGAATAGAGTTAAAGAGTAATGAAAATAGAGATATCATTTTCCACCAAAGCTCCCAGGCCCCTGAATTCGGTCTGGACTCCAGATTAAGAACTCCTGCGATAAGGCAGGAGGCTTGAACATAATTAAGCAAAAACTGCTATTCACTGTTTTATTCAGCAATTAGAATGGCCGGGAGCAAAAGAGGCAGGTCTGGGCCTTCTGCATGGTGCTATCTTTAGACTGCTTTAAATACCTTTAATGCATAATGCACTTTAATGCATAGCCATCTTTAAAAACTGGGCTATACCAACAGCAACAGAAAAAGGCAAACAAAAGCTTTACCTCAGCAAATAAAAAAGCTGAGAATCCCTCCAGAAGAAACTGAAATGCAAATTTTCAATTCAACTGCTCTCATGCAGTGGTTTAGTTTTCAAAGACAGGTTTGTCCTTGAGAACAGGTAAGGCAGTGGAGTGAATCTGGGTGCCCAGGAACTTGATGCATGAAGATGAAGAGCCAGGAAGGAGGGGAACCCAGGCAAGGAGCCCGCAGAGCTACACAGGCCCTCGTGTGAACTGAGCGCAGTTAGTGCTACATCGGGGAACCTGGGGGGTCAGAATGTTCTTTGCAGCTTTTACTGGGATCCCTGGAATCCCTGGATCACCCATCTGCCCTTTGAAAAGCTGACTATGTCTTTCTTTCTCTTTGGTTTCTCTTACATTTCAACCAAGTTGAGAGAGAAAGAGAAAGTTCTAGCCTAATTGACATGTAAAAGCAAAGAAAAGAGATCCTGATTTAGGGAAAGTGAGCCAGACAGAGGAGTGGGGGAGGGCAGGATCTGCTGGGGGTGGCCATGGGAGGCCGAAGGGAAGGAGAGCTCCAAGGAAAGGCCAGATTCAGAAGAGACCAAATTTCACATTTATATAGCCATCTGCTCCTATCTCATCTGGGGGAGTTTCTCTCAAAATCTCTTCTCTCTTCAGAGAGAATTTGGTGTCTCATCAAACTATGGAAATAAAGCCTCAATATAAAGGAGTTCTTGAGAATTTGCTCTTCAAGCCATCTTTCCATCCATCCATCTAAGTAAGGATCTATTAAAGTGCCTACGATTCTATAACATACCAAGCACTGTGCAAGGTACAGAGTATTGGAAGAGGGAAAATGATACAAATAAGACCTGGGTCCCCACCTTCAAGGGGCTTTAGTCTCATGGAAAATAAGATGAGTAAGCTCATCCCCCTGTAACATTTGATTCAGCCCTGTGTTGCCCAACTTCTACAAGGAGATTAACCTCTTGGAAAATGCCCTGCTCGACAATGTTCCCCCAAAGCCCAAACGTGAAACAAATCAGGCCAGGGCTAAAAAATTAGATTGTGGGGAAATAATATGGAAAAATATAAAATACGCAGCCTAAGCACAAAGAGAATTTTTTTTCCCCAGATCACAGATACTTAAAGCCACCAAGAAAGTGATTACTACGCATACAAAGAATCAGCAAAACAGTATGAGCACTTTAGGAATTCCAGAATGCACTTCTGAAGCCAAAACAGCATATACTCTAATAAGGTCAGAAAAAATAAGGTACAGCTTGAGCATCCCTTATCTAAAATGCCTGGGACCAGTAGTGTTTTGGATTATGAATTTTTTTTTTCGGATTTTGGAATTTTTCCAGAATACATTCCAGTTGAGCATCCCTAATCCAAAAGTCTAAAATCCAAAATGCTCCGATAACTGATTCCTTTGAGCATCCTGTTTGATGCTCGAAAAGTTTTGGATTTTGGAGCGTTTCAGATTTCAGACTGGAGATGCCAAACCTGTATAAGTCACCTGTATACGTGACTGCTTTTACTGGGATTCCTGGAATCACTGGATCACCCATCTGCCCTTTGAAAAGCTGACTATGTCTTTCTTTCTCTTTGGTTTCTCTTACATTTCAACCAAGTATCTGAGGTTCCTACTAAATATCTGACGTTCCTACTAAATTTCTCTCTTAATGGTGGAAAGAGAAAGACGACAGATTTAGAGGGATGGAAAATAAAGAATCAATCTCATCTCATGGAGTTAAGAAGCCAGCAGCTGGGATCCAGCACCCTTGACTCAAATCCAGATCCGAGCTGCAGAGTGAGAAGCTAACTGTAAAGACCCAACTTCAGCGGCCGGACTGACTGTCAGATGCTGCCTTCCTAGTGCCAGGGCCCCTGCTGCCCTCCGGTTAGGAAGAAATCGCCAGCTCACCATGGGAAACAGGCCCAGCGAATGGTAGCGCCGGGAGGTGGTGTTGGGCATGGTTTTGTTCCGGAGGTTCTTCAGCTCCTCCTGCGCCTCGTGAAGCATCTCCATGCACTCTGCGTATTTGTCCTCCAGCTCACGCAGCTGCGGGAGACCGGGAAAGAGGAGGAGGGTCAGGATCTCCTGAGCACCCAGCTGCCCGCCTACCTGAGAGCCAGAGTGCCCCTGGAACTGGCTGCCCTGTGGCCAAATGACAAAGAGTCCTCAAGCCTTGATTTTTTTCTTTGACTTGGGGCAAGCTTACAGACTCAGAAATCTTTTAAAATACGAACAACGGGCAGCTGCGATAAAATCAACGGCAATCAAAAGAAAAGGCAAATCATCCCACTTTCATATCAAGCCACATCTGTGAATGGGGCTCCGTTCACATGGGGCTCCATGCTGGTTGTTTCACTGATTTGAACATTTACCGGGCACCTGCACGTGGCAGGCTCAGCTGGTGCAGAGCCAGCATCCCAGGTGCTCACAACCAGTCACAGTGCCGGTGGGCACAGACAGGTGCAACTGAGGACTACCTCACCAATTTATATGACATTCAATTCAATATAAAAACGGTTAAAGGTGGACATGACCAGAGCTGTCAAAGGAGGCTGAGCTACCTTCATTGCGATCAGAGGCCCTGAACCAATGAGGGAGAGAGACTCACTTCGGCCGTGAGCTGCCGCTGGGCATCCTTGGCGGCCCCCAGGTGCTGGACGAGTTCTTCGTTTTCCACCGCGCACTAAAATGTGGCAGAGATAAGTCATCTTCTAAGATACTGAGGTTAAGTCCTACTTTCCCCCTCCATTTCCTGATCTACTGTGATCTCATCACTTTCTACAATGAGATGTTTGTCTTACACGGAAGTGGAATTCTGTCTTTTACATAATTTTGAAGGCACAGTCTTTCCTACATCTGTATTCATTCTCCGTAGGCCACCCCCCTCCCCCCACGCCTCCAAAGCTCTCAGTGAGCATTTCACCTCCCACTATGGCAAAGGCCTAATACGAGAAACGAAACTGATTCTGCCACTTCATCTTAAATCAAAAGGGGATATTGTTTTGCTGCAGAACACACTGGGCACACTTATAAAAACAAACACTAGACTAGATGATCTGTAATTTACATGCATGCATTTACAGCATGCTATTAATGAATCCTGCTAATGTGCACATTTTTCTTAGGAGATAAGTGGTCACAAATAAGACCCCTCCCCAATTCAGGGTAACCAGTTTTATACCATTGAATCTACTAAGCTTTTTCTCCAAAGGGCCAGCACAAATCCTAAGATATGAAACTAAGGAGCACTGTCTTCTGGAGTAACCGTCCCTTCCCCATCTCAGCATGGCCACTGTTGTATCAGCCAGAGAAATGCCTTACAGCTTTTGCCTTTTTCTGCAAATCAACGATCTGTGACAGCAGGTGTGTGATCTCCTCTTGCTGTCGGGCAGCATCTTCAGTCTTCTTGGCCAATTCCTCTGAGATACTAGCAATTTGGACGTTGGCATCTCCTTTGACAAAAATACAATAATGACAGGAGGTAAGCCAGAAAACCACACACGCAGACCCACAGGGAGCAGTTTTCTTTGTGGTTTGTACAGGAAAAACCATCTTTATTACAAAATGGGGAGAGGGTGCAGGAGGAAGGAACTCACAGCAATCACTTTCGTACATGGGGAAGCCAAGAGGCTTCTTCAGGGCTCAACCAGCCATGAGAAGGAAACTCCCCCCCCATCCCCAGCTGTTGGTTCCTCCCGGCTCCTGGGCTCCATGTGGGAGCCCAGCCCCACAGACCAAGGCTGCCTCCCTAAAGCAAATCAGCCAGGCTCCCAGAGCCAGCCAGGAGGCGCCACTCCAAACACGGGTGTGTTTAGTAAAATCCCCGCATTCCGCCCATGAACGAAGCCACATCACTAACAGAAACCCCTGCTGCACCCTGTTCTAGAAAGGTACTGACGGTGCATAGTGCAATTGCATTCCCTTGGGGTCTCCAACCCATGTTCAGAGCCACAACTCACTTAACTAAGATTTGAACATGGGGTATGTTTCATTTACCTAGCATTTTGCCCATTTGCCGTAACTTGTAAAGTTATAATGAAGAGGGTAGGGATAAGCCCTTTCAAAGCTGAGAACCCTGGCCTCAACTTCCACAAATCAAATTGTTAATACTAGCAAGTAAGCAGCTGTTCCACATCTTCAACTCGGGTTTCTGTAGCCGGGCAGTATTCCAGTAGTAGAAAGCCAAGATTAAAACATCCATCTCAGTGAGACACTGAGATAATGTACGGCTGACAACCCAGCGCCCAGTTCGTAAATGGGGAGGGAGGTGCCACACAAGGCCAGGGGGGGCCCCAGGTTTTAAGAAAAATGCTACTGAGCCACAGGCTGGCAGGGAGACTGTCCGATCACAATGGCGGCGTACTTGAGAAAGCAAAAGGAGGGAGTGGGAGGCGGGGAGGGCGGGCCAGGGACATACGCAGCTCCTTCACGCAGTCGTTGACCAGCTGCTGCTCCTTCTCCTCATAGGTGATGGTCTCGGTCTTCAGCTGGCAGGCCTGCGGGCAAGACCCAGGTCAGAGGCCCCGCATCACACCTGGACTGGTGGGGCAGCACTAACCTGGGTCTGGGAAGCCGCCCTTGACATCTCCCCACCTGCCACCCACTGCACCCCCAAATACAGAAAGTAAATCTGAATTCCCTGCTTAGTTAATGGGTACGTACCCCCAAAGCAGAAAAGCTGACAATGCGTACCACTAGAGGGCGCCACACACAGCCATGGGCAGGAGAGCTACACGCCCTGCTCAGTTGAAAACACGGTAAGGCCGGGCGCGGTGGCTCATGCCTGTAATCCTAGCACTCTGGGAGGCCGAGGCGGGCGGATTGCTCGAGGTCCGGAGTTCAAAACCAGCCTGAGCGAGACCCTGTCTCTACTATAAATAGAAATTAATTGGCCAACTAATATAGGAAAAATTAGCCGGGCATGGTGGTGCATGCCTGTAGTCCCAGCTACTCTGGAGGCTGAGGCAGGAGGATCACTTAAGCCCAGGAGTTTGAGGTTGCTGTGAGCTAGGCTGATGCCATGGCACTCACTCTAGCCTGGGCAACAAAGTGAGACTCTGTCTCAAAAAAAAGAAAAGAAAAGAAAAGAAAACATTGTAAGCACAGCCATTGAGTCAGTCTGTTTATTCATTTGTCTGTCCCAGCTCATACATATGGACGCTGTGTGACCCTCACAGTGCCTAGGACACTGCCTTGCCTACAGCAGCAGCCTAAGGACAATCACACAAGAACGGCTGACATTTACCATGCACCTGTTTGCCAGGCACTGAACTATGAGGTTCTGAGTTGGAATTAAACCTGTTGTGTTCAGCTTAGTAACAGCAAGGTCCAACACAAAAGCATACAAAAAATCTCAGGACTCCGGAGAGCTTGCACCCCACGAAAAAGGTGAGACAACAGAGATCTGAAAGCCCAAAGAAAATGCGCCAGTTGGAGAAATGTCATCTCTGAGCAGTGCACTCCCAAGAACACAGGTGAGGTTGCGGGAATCTGCAGCTGGCATCCGATATCCTCAGCTAGCTTTGGGTGAAGATTCTGACAGAGGGCCAAGTTGCTGGGTGCCCAGGACGGGAGGATCTACCTGGGGCAGATGCCGGAAGGGGCAGCCCCAGAGTCAGAATGGGGAGCACTGGGCTGTGGTCTCGCTCAGCCCCTGGCTGGCAGAGGAAACCGGGACAATGTTCTCAGTCAGTCTGGGTTTGTGTTTCACATCAGTAAACATGGGGCTGGAAGAGGTGAGATCTAATAGGACACACAGGAGAGCATCTTATCAGTCCAGGCATGAAGATCTCTCCAACGTGTGGACAAGTTCAAGGTGATGGTCTGCCCCACTGGAGGGGCTTTGGGGATCCCAGGGCCGGTTTAGGTGGCCCATAGCTCACACCCAATAAACAGGGCCATACTGTGCCACACCACACCACACCTCTGGCTGGAGAACATTAACACACCACTAATTACAACAGCACTAATCCTGCATGCACCAGTGTTTCTAGGGAGGGGCAGTGGGTAAAGTGGAGAAACGTGGCACTTAAGAGTCACAGACTTATAAATACTGGCCTTGTCATTTATTAACTCGCATGACCTTGGGAATACCGATACACCTAGCAGCCCAGCCCAGGGCCCATTTTTCTCACTGTGAATGAGAACCGGAGTAACCAGCTTTCAAGCCTTGTTGTGAAAACCACACAAAAAATAAAATAACGTGGGCAAAGCTCCTGGCCCGACGCTTAGCCAGTAAGATACTGAGAAACGCAAGTCCCCAGGTGGCCTCCGCTCAACCTTTTCAAGTTAACTGTCTAAGAAATACGGCTCCACGTTCCTGTGTACTGTTTCCTAAGTGCGTATGTGACCTGAAGTGACATGGACTCGAGGCTGGGTTTCTCCTCAGGTGCTGTGGCAGGAGCCGGAGAACACCGCAATTCACAGCAGGCACGTCTGCCCCCGCCCGGGAGGCAGGTGCAGCATCAGCGGGCAGCGCCCGGGACACCGTGCAGCCCTTCCACACAGTGTCGCCTTTGGGAACAGCCCTGTTCTAGCCAGGTGAGGCAGGAGGGGCCACCACCCTTCCCAGCAGGGTCAAAGGCGGGGAGTAAACGTCACCTCGGATCGAAGTACCACGTTCTCCTCTTCAAGGTCTTTCAGCTTCTTCTGAAGAGAATCCAAGTGAAAATAATTCTGGACTGAAGACGACGACTCATTCCTCTTCAACCTGGGGGAGAAAGGACATTCACAGTCTAGGGAGAGGGACGGTTCCTCCTACCACCGGGAAACCACGCGGAGACACAAAGAAGGGCTACTTCAGAGAAAGCTCACGAGACCCGCAGGTGTGACAGTGACCCCGTCAGCCTGCTCTCCCAACCCCAGGCAAATAGCAGCCCTCGACTCGTGGGCTCACCGCCACTTAGGACCCACGTCCCAGCCCTTAATCCACAATTTGCAGTTGCCGCATCACCTCAGAATTTGGTGGAAATCAACTCTGTTAAAAGCCTACCCAGGCCAGGCGCGGTGGCTCACGCCTGTAATCCTAGCACTCTGGGAGGCCGAGGCAGGAGGACTGCTCGAGGTCAGGAGTTCGAAATCAGCCTGAGCAAGAGCAAGACCCCATCTCTACTATAAATAGAAAGAAATTAATTGGCCAACTAATATATATAGAAAAAATTAGACGGGCATGGTGGCACAAGCCTGTAGTCCCAGCTACTCGGGAGGCTGAGGCAGGAGGACTGCTTGAGCCCAGGAGTTTGACGTTGCTGTGAGCTAGGCTGATGCCATGGCACTCACTCTAGCCTGGGCAACAAAGTTGAGACTCTATCTCCAAAAAAAAAAAATAATAATAATAAAGCCTACCCAATCCTGGGATGTCCAGAAGTTTATTTAATACTCATAACGCACACCCATGCGCCAAGAGCTGTTTGAAGTACTCTGCATGTATCCATTCAGCTAATGCTCACAACCCTGTGGCCTCAGTACTTCTGCCATCTCTATTTCTCTTGGCCAACAGCTCGCAGCCAGTAAGTCGCAGAGTCAAGATCTGAACCCAGACTCATGGTCTTGGGATGGCCGAGGGCAGCTGACCTGCACTGCTGGTGAAGGTGACCCTGCCTGGGCAACTCCAAGGACAGCAACGGTGGCCAGCCTGCGCTCTGGCCTCCAGAAACACAGCCCTCTGGTGACTTACGGGGTTGAGCAGACAGACTCGGGCTCGCTCTCCTCTGCGGCGCTGGCATAGAACTGCAGCAGCTCATCTTTCATGGACAGCTCGTGCCGGAGCTGAGACACCTGCACAGACAGAGCCGGGGGCCGTCACTTGCTTCCCAAAGGTGGTAACGCCCCTACTCACGCTCAAATACTTACTGCTTAGTGACAACGTTTTTTAAAATTTCCTGCTGAAAGTGAAGGCATTTAACTGATTTCATGCTATTCAAAGAAATAGGGTTTTGAAGGGTTGAGTTTGATCCCATTTAAGAAAAATGCAATCCATTACTTTTTAGCAGCATCCTCCCTGTCTAATTTCCTAATTTTTACTTTGGTAGGGAGAAGAGCAAGAGGGGACTAGAAGGCTTTAGAATGATGGTGTGACCACTCATGGGCTTTGGAAGGAGCCAGAGGACGAAATGGGAAAATGGCCAGAACAGTGGATCATGTTACCATATGAAGAGGCCACTCTATTCTGCCAGAACCAAATCCCACCTCTGAATAGAATTCCAGAGATGCCAGCTCTGGGTGGGCCACCATGAGGAGGTCACCAACCCTTGCTCTCACACTTGTACAACACACAGCCACACCTTGTGACGCACCCTCGAAGGGCTCCTGGCCAAGCCTGGCCAGGCCTTGTTCTGTACCCAGTGATCACCAGATAAGAATTTCAGATACAGGGAGAAAAGATGCAACCCTCAGGGATCGGCCATATTGACTCCTAAGATGGTTTTGCAAATCGCACCGATTTATATTAATATTTAAGTTTTTTAAAATAAAGAGTGCTGTAAAAATTTTTCATTTGCCCTTTCACCACTCACCATAGATGAATATGGAATCAGTGCTGCAAATGAGAATCCCAATTCCATTTTAATTCCTTCTTGTTTCTCATTTGACTTGGGGTCTACGGTTTATTGCAATTTTCCTGCACAACACAATGAACGTATCATGCCTTCCAGGGAGAAGCCAATTTTATGTGCATACAAGTTTTGGCCTCAATACCTAGACTGACAATTTAATGATATGCCAAAGGGGAACCATATTATAGTTTTCAAATTCAAAGCTTTTCCAAGGAAAAAAGAGGTATGTACACTCCTAGAGAGTAAGATGTTCTTTGTGCAAGATGAACCTTGTCCCAAGCCAAGGACAGTAATGTGAAGAAGCTGAAAGATGAGCATCTGCTGGTTCCTAGGTGGCAGGTCCCTCTGCTCCAAAGGGCTGAGAGGCGGCCAGGCTGACCCAGCATGCTTTCTCATCAGCCACCTGAACAAAGGGAATTCAGGTCCTGATGTAGGAATCATTTTATTTCTCCCAGAACATAACAGTGTTCTGCCTCATCATCTTTTATAGAAGACCCAGGATTAAAACTTTTCTTATATAGAGACAACTATATTTCATCATATTAAAATTATCATTACAGAATGATAACAATGTACTGGGAATAACTTTAACAAGGAAAAACTTTGAATATATCTTAGGGACATGAACAATAGCATCCCCTCCCACTAAGAAAGTTTCTAATAGAAAACAAGGAAGAAGAAACAAGAAGAGTCCTCACAGTAAAAATTCAGTGGTAAAAGAACAGGTGACAAGAAAGAAGATACTAAGTAGGGCCTGGCTCTAAGCTTCTAATCCTTGTTCTAGCAACGCTGTCTGACTCTGCAGCCTCCCTCCCCGTCCACACCACCCCCCCTCCAGAGGATCATTCCATTCCTCCTGAACCTAGGCCTCCTTAAGATAAACCTAGAAGTTTCATGCCCTTCCTCAAGATCTGTATCATGAAAATAACAGGGTTTCTATCATGAAAACAACAGGCTATTTTTTGGGATGGTTTTACATGCAGAAAATTATGTTGTAGTGACAAATGCAAATCGCCACTTTCCCCTGCGTGTGAGCCTCCTAACAGGGCTCCTTCTGCAGCTGCCCACGCCCAGCCTGACGCAGGAGCCCCTGCTCATTGCCGTATTAGCCTGCGTGCGCTTTTGCCAGGTGTGGAGTGTCTCGATCAGCCCGCGTGCTTACAGTCTGGGCTCTCAGAGGACAAGGACCGAGGCTGGCCCTACATGCTCTGGCCTGCAAACGCGACAGGGCCCCGTGGGCCTACCAACTAAGTAAAAACCGTGCCTGCAGGTCCGGGCCCATCCACGGGGAACAGAAGGAGCTGCAGGGAGGCGGCTCTTGGTCTCCAGGTGGTCACTTCAGAACAGGGACCTTTCCATCGTAACTGGGACCCCATTATATCATCCGGGCCTTCAGCCGGGCCTGTGGCTCCCAAGCCCAGGGCAGGGCCTTCCAGAAGTCGTGGCCAGCAGCTCCTTACCTCCTCCCTGATGTGTTCCACTTGCTCCTCCAGCAGCTCGTTCCTCTCCGTTAGTGTCTTGTTCTTCTTCAGCAATGACTGGCCGATCCGAGCAGCCAATTCTAAATCCCGCTCTTTCTATAAAGGCAAGAGGGAGAACACAGATTAGAAAAACCCGTGCTTCCTGGGGGAGCCCACAGTGCTCAGTGTCGAATGAGGAAAACAAGGGCATCTAGAAATGACAGAGGAATTAATAATTCACCATCTACACTGGCATTTGATGCCTGTTAAAAGAGGGACCTCTGCCCAAGTAATGTGCAAGAGCTACACGGACATCAAGCGACAAAAGGGAAGCCTTAAAATCTAATGAAAACACACCTTTGTTTCTATAGGGGGAAAAAAAATGCTTCCAAAAACATTTATTTGCAACTGCTGTTGGTATTTGCGTAATCATTTGATAACTTGTCTCTGCTGAAAGCTGGGATATTGTCTGGCCAGGGCCCAGCAGATGGAAACACTCAGTAGCTATTTGTTGAATGAATCAATGCAGAAATTCTAAGCAGACACAGGGAGGCAGCCTCTTTAGCATATTATTAGGCTGGAATTTACTAAATTCCTTATTTTCACCTCATATGAAACCAAATGTTTGAAGTTACTCTGAAAAACAATTACATGCTTTTCTGTTTTGTTTTTTAACTTAGTAGAAAAGGCTACTTAGGCTTTATTTTTTTAAAAAAAAAAAGCTTTCAAGATCGCGAAAGAATGCATAAAATTGCCATACTTGAGAGGCAAAGACAGTGCTAAGGGCACAGAACGTTCTGTTAGTTCAGCTGATAACATCAATTAAGACAGAGCAGGCCACGGAGGAAAACCCTTAGTGGCATATAAAGGCACGGTGCCTTTGTGGGAAGAAAGGTGTCCCCTGACAGTGGAAAGATGCCATCACCAAAGGCAGACTTATCGTTTTGCAGACTATGGGTAGATTCAACTTGCTCAGCATTGGGAGAAGGAGCTGGCAAGGGGAGGAAAAATCTGAAGAACTGAATTATTTTAGAAGTCTGTGCTCATTACTCTGTTCACCTAGTTTAAAAGCAGAAGAATGGAAACATGAATGTGGGGGTAGGGAAAAGGCTGGGGAGGAATCCTAGGTTCTGCTCTGGCCATTAACTTCCCACATGGCCCTAGGAGAATGGCTTCGGCTTCACAAGGATTTTGTACACTACAGAATTAGTTCTTTCAAGCCGCTGGTGGGGTTGAGAAACCATTTTAGTAATGGCGACTGGCATTTTCATTAACAATGACAGCACAGAACTGAAAACACCAAAGTGCATTCCACATAATAAGGGAATGTTTAAACTTTTGTCCTGTCACCTGTTTCCCTATGTGAGTACCGGGTCACAACCTAAGTACGGTTCTCACAGCAAGTATTGGTCACAAGTCTCACTGCTCTGGGCGAACCACCCTGCTCTAAACTGGGAGAGTTTAGGTTCTGTTTGAACATCCCTGGGCCCACTTCCCTCCTCCGTTAAATGGGGGTGGGGGGGCAGGCTAGTTGAGATAGCCTTGGAGAAAATCTTGTAGCTTTGTTTGTTATTCACTGAGTTGTATGATAAAAAGAATAAGCAGCTTTTATTTCTACCTTCTGACCTACCCACCAAATTCTTCCCTGCAATAGCAGCACACCTCCCTTTGCTAACTGCAGGCGGTGCACTGAATTACGAAGAGCAAAGCACTTAAGGTCCAAGTACACTTGGAGAAAGTCTGGATTCCATAGCAATTTACTTCCCTCCCGCAGGGCGATGAGTATTCTTCTTCCCTGGGTCTCCCATCCCAGAAGCCCGCCGGGTATCATCGCAGCAAGTGGGCCGTAAAAACCCCCAACTCATTCCCACAATGCGATGCATGCCTCCCCAACACACACACCCTCCAAAAAACACAGTCGGTGTTGGAGAAGGTCCTCAACAGAGCCAAGGGGACACAGTGACTCTGCCCAGTCAAGCCAGATGCTCATTCATCTCTGTGCATTTATCCACACAGTCTACCAAGACATGTTTACTCGTGGCTCTGTGTCACTCCCCACACTCAACAGTTGTGTTTACTTGGTATCTAGAGGAAAGGACTCAAAGAATTGTGCGAGCGCCTGCACAGAACTTGAGTCTCCAGGGCCCAACTCACAAATAGCACCCTCGTCCGAGCAGTTTCCGAGGCTCACACTTGGTTAAAAACTGCAATACCAATGTCCACTTCTCTCTGCAAGCATGACCCCCACAAATCACACGCAAGTCTATTCAATTTCTCTACTGGAACGAATTCTCAGACTGAATACCCAGCAGGTGCTTAATGAATGCTCATCAGCTCACTACCTGATGTGAATTAAAAATAAAATCCTAAGCCCTCTGGCTAAATGAATGGGCCCCTCTCAGCCAAGGGAACCCCAGAAACACCTTAAAACTGAGTTCCCAGCGGTGACAGGATGGGAGAGAGAAAGCACAGTCACACATGGGCACGACTTCTTCACAAATATTCATGGCTCCTACTGTAGCTCGTGGAATAGGTACATTTGACCGCCCTGCTCAGCATAAAATCTTGTCCCTTTTGTCGGGCCTTTGAAGCACAATTGCCTGGCCTCTGGCCAGGGCTCTGCTTCCCAATCTGTGGGAATGGCTGCCCGGTAGTCTGCTACTCTTTATGAGAAATAAAGCTCTCCTTTTTCCAAAGTATAAACCTCGTTGAGTTTTTTAGATAACACTGACAACCTGTTCCGCATTGCCTTCGTGCTTCCAAGCTGCTAAGTTCCAACAAGCACAGACATTTCGTATGCCTCAGCCACATTCTGTAAGCACGTTCCAAAGCGAACAAATCAAGCACAAAGTAGAATGAAGATGGGTCAGGCCGGCACTGACAGAGCACCTGGAGGATGTGAAAGGCTTCCAGAACCCCAGAGGGACGGGAAACAGGCAGGGGAAGAGGAACAAGTGGGGCAGTGAGCTCAATGAGGAAGCCTGGTGCCCTACCTAGCACACCTCAAACCCCAGACCGAGAGCCTCCCCACCTCTCCCGGCCCCACGACGAGGGCCAGCTTCCCCTCCCTGGTCTACACTGGAAATCTAAACTTTAGAGTAAATATAAAGAACACTCTGCCAGGGCGGGGGCAAGAAGTTATAGTAAGAATATTTATGCATGAAACTAAAAAATTAAACAAAAAAGGTATTGTAGCGTCTCTAATTTGTTTCTAGTTTTACTAAGGCAACAGGCTGGTTGGGTTTCTCTTTGAGAAAATTATGAGAATGAAAACAAATCTCCCATTTCTCACAACTGGCCAACACAGGATAAATATTTACTTCTAAAAAACAAGAAAATAGCTAGGTAATGACCACTGGATTGAAGTACAATGAGAGTATGAGACCATCAAGACATAATTTAGGCCCTTGGAAATAAGCTATTAAATGAACTAGTTCTTTTATTCCCCAGGAACTGAGGCAAGGTGGTGCTCATTCTAACTGCTCACTGCCTCTTCTGGCTGACTATGCTTTGCTTATTAAAAAGACCGTACGGATGAACACAGGCGCACACACCCACCGGAGAGTCAGAACAGCCTAATTCCTATACTTAGCAGCTGACTCATCTCATTCACCAATTTCAGGATAAAAAGCATGACTAAGGGGCCAGTGGAATCACCCTCTCTGTGCCTGGGGAGGAGGCAAGCTTTGCCCAAAGGTACATTCTCAACAGCAGCAAGCTGGGGCAAGCCACGGAATCCTCTTCCACTTAAATCCAGAAGCAAACTCTCGAAGCTGGCCAAGGGCTGTGCTTCGGGATATGCAAACCTCCCATGCGCTCCGCCTGCCTGTGTGTAGCAGGCACACCAACCAAAGAAACAGAACCAAAGCCAAGAAAAAGCACAGCACAGTGCGACTGTCACGTGACTGGGGCAGTCAGACTCCAACCAGGAAACCCGCCCAGTTCCGAAGAAAGGCAGTAATGCAGGCATGACTCTTATCAGGACAAGGAACCAAATGGCAAAAGTCAGTGGTGCCAGCTGGGTGAGTCTGCCCTGTGGCTGACGCCATCAACATACTGCCCCTGCAGCACCACCCAAAGGCAGAAAGCCTGTACTCCCAAATGCCTCCCTGACACCCTGTCACACACCCCCAATCCCTGACTTCCCCTTCTGGGGATGGGACTGGAGTGGGCTGCAAGGCAGGTGTGAGAGTGCTGGGTGTGCAGAAGGAGAAACACAGGAAGGGGGAGACATAAATATGGCGAAAAAAATGCCCCTCAAAAAACCCTGGGTCCCCTTGCTCCTGCCTAGGTCCTGTGTTTCAGCCCTGTCCTCCCACTGGCTGAAAACGGTAGCAAAAACGATTTCTGCGTCTCCCGTGTTGTTCTACACTCTTCCTGGGGAAGAAGGTAATGAGCAGTCACATGACCCAAACTCATCTAGACTCCAGAGAAGAGGAAACACGGGACTAGAAGTCGGCACCTGTCTATTTAAAGCCTAGTTTGGCGGTGAGGGTGGTGTACGAGGATAGACACTAATTCAACAAACACTAAGAAGCTGCCATGCTCAGGCCTGCTCGTGGCGGGCTGACACACACATCACACGCATCTGCGTCCAGGGGCCTTCAAAGCACCCTAATTCTTAACTCCTGAGAGAATGCTGAGAAGCTGAGAAAACCACAGTCTCTAAAATACAAGTAGCTCACCGAATCCTAAGCAACTTTCCTAAATTTTTCTTGCCTTGCTTATTTTGCTTATTTCCATGCTGATACTGCATAATATTCTAGCAACCTGACGTAAGTAAAAGCCTAAGATGATACACTTTTCTGACATTTTTTAGATGCATTTAAAATATATTGTTAAAATGTATTTTAGTGTTTTTTAAATCTCAAACTGGGCATTCTAGCAAGTAATTAAACACCACTGTATTTTGTGTCATTAATGCGTTCCTTTAAAAACCTAAAATACATACAGCACAAAATTATAGCAACAAAGGCCTACATAGCTAGTAGTCTAAAAGATAAAACCATTAAAGTATACCCCAAGAGGGCCCAATTTCTGAGATTCTTCACTGAAACAGACAGTAAGGCATGCTTTGATTGGAAATAAATTAAAATCAAGTATGAACAACTCTTTTGCCTTCCCCCGAGACACTTACCTCCTCAAGAAGCCGAGTAACAGCGTCTATGTCATTATATGTCTTAGTCATCTGGCCAACTCTTTCAGCGCATAAAACTGTAAGAAAGAAAAAGGACAATGAGACCACCAATGCCACAAACTTGCCAAACAAATGTCCCATCTACAAAAGCGGCCCTGAAGCTGTGCACACAGGGTCACTGGTTTTACAGGGGTCAACTCAACACCACCACGTTTCATGTCCCAGTCCCAGTCCCCATGACCAGAAGATGAGTTTCCAGGGGGGAGGGTGACTTCTAATCCCTGAGAAGCCTTGACACTGAGTGTCTGCGCGTGCGCACGCACAAGCATGTTTAACGGTAGTGCTGAGGGTGGGGCGATGGAGTGGGGTGAGCACAGCAGCCCGTGTGTGAACCCTTACACAGCCCCGTGGGATCCGGACCTCGCTGACCACGCACACCCGGCCACACGGACAGAGTGGGGTCCTGCAGAAAGCAGACTTTGGTATAATTATTAAACAACAGTGTTGAGCTGACAATGCCATACTGGCACAGCCCTCTCCTCTCCAAATAGCCTAAATTCTAAGGCCATGCAACCCGTTTCCACACCATGAAAACTAGGGTGATGTTTTTTTAATCTATACCAAAAAGTCTATGACTAATGCTGATACACACACACACACACACACACACACACACACACGCACAGAGTGGTGTTTCATTACGTGTACAATTTACTATGGTCCTAAGAGGCTGCAGGCAAGTCACTTTAGGACTGTAGATTTTTGTTCTCCCATTAGAGAAAAGGGGTGTGTAACAAAAGGCTTTAATCTGATTAAAAAAAAAAAAACACACACACACACACACACAGAAACCTCAGGGTTGTTTTATTTTAAATCAATGGCAAGGAATTGATTTGCAGTTCAATAAACACCAAGAAGGTACCAGGAGTTTTGTTCCACCGGGGAAGGACTGAATATAAATGGATTTAGGGCCAAAGTATAAAATTGTTTGAAACCTGTCACTTTGGGGCTAAATTATAACTTCTTGGTAACTAAGACTCTAGAGAATAATTCTGTTAAGAGTAGAAGCTTTCGAGCCACATTCAGGATGAGCCCATGCAAGGCATTTGGGAACTGAAGTATATTACTGAGTCAAACTCAGTAGCATTATTAACAGTGAACAGCACTGGAATTCAATAGGTCTTTAAATATTTCATTAAAGGCAAGCAGAGATCATCCCAGTGAGTGAGCTCAGAGAAATTGGATCTACTGGAATGATTTTCTAGCTTAAGGAGGAGACCTGAAATCTGGTTCTAAATCTGAAACCCTAGAAACATGGCGCCATCAGAGCCAGGAGACAGACCCTATACTCAGCCTTTCTTGCAGGATCCGAAAGGAGGGAGGGAAACATTCTGTCTCGGACAAAACTGCCAGCGAGGGGAAGGTAAGGGAGATTTATAAGGGTGGTGGGTTTAAACAGGAACCTAATTTGATGTAGATGAAGTCCAGCTCAAATTGCTCTTAGTTCATTCATCAGCTCAAGGTCATGAGAAGCCTTTAAGTGAAGATACTTGTCCCACCAACAGGCGTTAGTTCCCTCCCTGCACAGCTCTGACGTTCTGCAAGAGTACAGAAGCCCTCCAGCGAGCACCTGGCTAGAAAGCATGCACACCGCCTGCATACACCAGGACACAGACCACCTCAGTTGAGTGGCCTCTGTGTTTGAACTTGTGCTGTGACTTGAGGGGGCCTGCTAACACTCCCCTGCTCTCCTCAAAGGACTAGTCAGTTGTATCACCTATGTAAGCTCATGTATCCACCATCGCGAAGATTCTTTGTGTTGACCTTTTGTAAATCTGATCTTAAAAAGCTTTAAAATACTTTAACGATTGAACCTAATAAAAATGATAATCTTGCCACCATGCACATAGTGACATGACAGGAGGTCTGGTGTGCACTTTCATGTCCCCAAGACAGGACAGCTGAAGCTCGGCGTGCAGAGGGGCGCAGGAACCTCCCATAAGTCCCAGGGCCTTTGACTAAGCCTGACTACACAAGTCAGAAATGAAAAATTAATGAATAAATGAAATATATGAATAAATGAAAATAATGAATAAATGAAAAACTGTGTACCACAAGCTATGCAAGTGATTATTCCAGTTATGTTTTTAAAAATATACATAATCCCAATTTGGGGGCAAGGGAAAGAAATGTATAGATTTATATAGTACCCAGAAAAAAACTAGGATAGCCACAAAAGTATTGACATTGGATTGGATCACAAATTTCAACTTTCTTTTTTGTGCTTCTTTAAAAAATATTCTATAATGACCATGCAGTGATGGGGGAAAAATTTACTTAAAATATTTTTTAGAAAATCTATGGTTGACTACAAAATAGGGTCCTGAGATTCTCCCTGAGCTTACTTTAAAAGAAACCGATAACAGCAGAAGACCTTTACTGGGCACATTTACTATGGCCAGGCACAGGCACCGATCACAGCCGTCCATATAGATTATTTCATGTCATCCTCAGAGCGCTACTATGGGGCTAGGCACCTACCTTAACACCCATTTTAGACATCAAGGCCCAAAAAAAGCTAAATAACTCACCCAACGTCACAAAGCCAGCGAGCAGCAAATTTCAGAATAAGCACAGACTCCCAGCAGAGGCAGGAGCCAGCATCACAGTGCCCCTGCTTGTCAAGAGGTTGGACGGGCTTCCTCATTTAATCGCAGCAACCCTGTGGGGCAGGCACTGTTACAATGACTGCTCCACAGATGAGAAAACTGGGCTCCAAGATGTTCAGAATCCATGGCCGGGTACAGTGGCTCATGCCTGTAATCCTAGCACTCTGGGAGGCCGAGGCGGGAGGATCGCTCAAGGTCATGAGTTTGAACCCAGCCTGAGCGAGAGCCAGACCCCGTCTCTACTATAAATAGAAAGAAATTCATTGGCCAACTAAAAATACAGAGAAAAAATTAGCCGGCCATGGTGGTGCATGCCTGTGGTCCCAGCTACTTGGGAGGCTGAGGCAGCAGGATTGCTTGAGCCCAGGAGGTTGAGGTTGCTGTGAACTAGGCTGATGCCACGGCACTCTAGCCTGGGCAACACAGTGAGACTCTGTCTCAAAAAAAAGAGAAAAATGTTAAGAATCCGATATTAAGGACCCAACTAAGGTCTCAAAGAATGAGGCTGCACAGCAGGGGCTGCACCTGGGCTAGTCTGGCCCCTGGACTGAAATAGCCACAAAGGACACGATGCCAGGGTGAGGGCTGGCACAAACCATCGATGTGCAGGAAGCGTGTAAACAGAGCGAGAGGCAGTGATGGTGCAGGGGAAGAACGAACCCTGGCCTCGGGCTCTGAGGCCCAGCTTTTCAAAGGAGGATTCTATCAGGCCAAGAGGCCCTGCACAACAATTCACAATTGCAAAGCTGTGGAAACAACCCAAGTGCCCGTCAATTCATGAGTGGATTAATAAAATGTGGTATATGTATACCATGGAATACTACTCAGCATTAAGAAACAATGGTGATCTAGCACCTCTTGTATATTCCTGGATAGAGCTGGAACCTATTCTACTAAGTAAAGTATCTCAAGAATGGAAAAACCAGCACCACATGTACTCACCAGCAAATTGGTATTAACGCATCAACACCTAAGTGGACATATAGGAGTAACATTTATAGAGTGTCGGGAGGGGGGAGGAGGGGAGGGGTATATACAACTACAACGAGTAAGATGTGCAACATTTGGGGGATGGACACACTTGAAGCTCTTACTCAAGGGGGGAGGGGGGCATGGGCAATATATGTAACCTTAGCACTTGTATCCCCATAATATGCTAAAATAAATATACAGAAAAAAATAAAAAATAAAATAAAATAAAGAGGCCCTGGACAGCCGTCAATCAACCGCAGCCTCTCGGCTTTCCTCTGCCAAGGAATGAGGGACAGGAGTGCAACCAGCGAGGGTGGGAACGTAACAAACCATGCCTTTAAAGAGTAAGATAAGGACAGGCTGTGCTTTTCAAGCATTACCAACTTTCTAGACACTGAGTCGACAATAAACTGTGGTCAAGTTTCTCTCCCACGGGAATAGTGTTTCAAACAGAAGTTCCATTTCCAACCCAGAGAGCACTCCCAAATAAATCCACTTCCACCCAAAAATGTGTCAGGAAATAAAAAGTAAAGGAGCAGCCGTAAACCTCTACAATAACTTAATATGAGAAAATTATGGTCCAACTCCTAAAAAAAGAAGTTAAATGTAACCTGTCTACCTACTATGGCAAAGTAATATATTAATGGTACACACGCCATACCTCTGGCACGCTCAAACTAGCACTAAACCACCTTTATCCTGCACCAGGCTCTGCACCGAACAAAACAGGACGCCTGCCCTCCTGGGGCACACAAAAAGCAGGGCAGTCTGGGGGAGGTGCCCAGGGGGGTTGAGGCTTGGAAAGCCACTGGAGGCTTTCAAGGGGGGAGTGTCCACACGAGCTCTGCACTTCAGAAAACACTTTGGATCCAGTGTAGAGCAAAAGGGAGGGGGTGGGCGCAAGGCAACTTGGAGTGCCCAGCATCGAGGCTGCTGGAGTAATCCAAGGAGATCCTGGGTGGCAGCAGGATGGCAAGAAGGGGGCTCTTTTCTTGAGATTTAAGAGACAAGACTGAGTGGGATGTAAATGAGAAAGTATGGGATCTGGGCTTCTCACTGGGACAACGGGGACAAGAGCGACGTCCCCCTTCAACATGGGCACGTGAGGTGGAAGAGCAGGAGGGAGATGGGGCTCCCCAGTGAGACCTCTGGCATCGGGACAGGTACTGACGTCCCTGTGCAATGACGTGCCAGGCAGAGGCCGCCCACAACCCGAGGTGGCAGGAGGCCCACCTGGCAGAAACACCCTCCCAGGAGCTGCAGGTGTTGAGATTCTGGTTTGGGAGAATCCACTTTGAGATGAGAGGAGAATCAAGTTCTTACTCTGGGGATGGTGGGTAAAGTAAGCTTGTAGTTGTTACAGTTGCCCCTTAAACCAGACCTAAGCAGCTTTATTTCTCTTCTGACTAGATCGCCAAATTCTTCCTGCATCTGCT